GTACATATGTACATCTATAAAAACCGCATTAATTTCTGGGTGGTCGTAGGAGTGGAAAAATACAAATACCTAGATTCAGTATCAAAAGTAAAAAACGAAAAAAATTTTTTTTGTGGATGTACGTAAAAATACGTAAATAATTGTTATAGAATCAAACATCAATCATTACAATCAATAGATAATTTAAATTGTACATATTTTTACCAAAGTGATATTTTTCACATATTTACATATGTTTTTTTCACATTATAATATACATATATACATATGTGCTTATAATTGTATGATACTGACTATATGTATATGTATGCACTCACCATTCTTTGAAAACAAAATACAACACAAAAATGTTTTCCAAGGCGATAAAAATCGCAAAAGTCAAAGTAAACACAAATTTGAATTTAAATTTTTTACACTTGTTCCAATGCTATCACCCCTCAAAGCTACGAATGCTTACCAATACTGACTGCTGCTTTTCGACTGCTGTTTACGATAAAAAAAAACAACAACATAAAACAAAAGAAGCAATCGAAATACCAACCAACCATAGCCAGTTGAGGATTAACATAGTGTGGTTTAGAAACACGTCGTTATTTGCTTATCCAATTGGTGAAGAGCTCACAAAATATTAGAGTGGGTACGTAGCTATATTGGGCAATGCATAAATAATTTATAGCAATAACAGTGCATACATATATATATTGTATATACTTTTAGAAATTTGCACCCACATTTGAAGTTCAAACTCATATTTAAATGGAGCAATTGAATTTTTCTTTAATACGTTGTCATAGAAGTACAAATTTTTGCGTGGCTACTTTCTAAATTCACGCTTTAATCGTGTTGCTAAAATGTTATTACAAATTTTCTTAACTGTGTTATTTTAAGTATTTATGCATATTTTACTACGACATAACATATTAAACGTAATGCTGCAAACTCAAACGAAAACATGATGTAAATCATACGTGTATATTCATATGTAAACAAATATCGAAACTTATTCATTTCAGGGGAGAAACGCAGAGGAGGTCCATGTCAAAAAGGGTTAACTACCAATTGACTGGCGGCATTATTTGTTAGATACGTAAATGCTTTGTATGTAAGTCTACACATGCATACAAACATTTTTATGAAAATATTCACGTTAGAAATGCCATAACTGGAACTTGAACCTGACCGCCAATACGTACTAAGTCAAGTTTTTGTTTTTAACTTTTTCTTCGTTTTTTCTTTTTTAATTTTCCGTGACTGTTCATGTAAAGTTTACAATTATAAAATTGCTGCTCAATTCGGAAGAGACTAGACTGGAATAAAAACATTGTTCAAATGCATATAAGGACATATAAAACTGTCAAGATTAAATTATAACTATTCTTGCCGCCTCCAAGTCAGACTATGCGCAATTGTATTTTCTTTTAGAAAAGCAGTAAAAAGCTTTAATTTCGGTAAATGTATAGTTTAGGTCCCCCAACGAAGGAAGCCGTGAAAATTATAATTCTGTTTTTTTTTTACATCGTCTTATTTTGACGCGAAGATGACAAATCAGTGAGCGGAAAGTCGATTTTTATACTCTCGCAACTTGTTGCTACAAAGTATAATAACGGTTGTTTGTATCACCTAAAACTAATCGAGTTAGATATAGGGTTATATATATATAAATGATCAGGATGAAGAGACGAGTTGAAATCCGGCTGACTGTCTGTCCGTCCGTCCGTGCAAGCTGTAACTTAAGTAAAACTTGAGATATCTTCATGGAACTTGGTACACCTATTTCCTGGTACCGTAAGACGGTTGGTATTGCAGATGGGCATAATCGGACCCCTGCTATGCCCACAAAACGCATTTAATCAAAAACAAATAAATTGCCAAAACTAAGCTCCGCAATAAGATACAAGACTGTTATTTGGTACAAAGGATCACAATAGGGAGGGGCATCTGCAGTTAAATTTTTTTTAAGTGGGCGTGGTCCCGCCCCTAATAAGTTTAATGTGCATATCTCCTAACCCACTAAAGCTATAATAACCAAATTCACTGGGAGCAAATGTTTTTAGCTCCTCTATTGACGGTGTGACAATGGGTGAAATCGGGTGACAAGCCCGCCCACACTCCTTATAACGGTACTGTTTAAAAATACCAAAACCGCGATAAACCAAGCACTAGACACGCCAGAGACATTAAATTTTATCTCTCCGAAATTTGGTGCATAACGTTCTTTTCATATTTCTAAGTAGTGCGAAAATGGGCGAAATCGGACTACAACCACGCTTATTTCCCATATAACACCATTTTCAATTCCATCTGATTCTTTCACTTTCCACTATGCATATCAAGCAACAATGATTATATCGGGGTAAAACTTTGCGTGAATAATACATTTAAAGTATGCCACCCACCTTGTGACCAAAAATTGTCTAAATCGAACCAAAACTGTTCAAGCCCCTAAGTACTAAATATGTGGACCCCAGTGCCTATAGTTGACCTTCTACCGAAAATATCAGTCAATCCACAAAGAAATCTCAAACGAGTATACCATTTGACTTTGCGAGAGTATAAAATGTTCGGTTACATCCGAACTTAGCCCGGGAAAACTTTAGTATAACGTCCCAGGCTTTCGGGGATAAAATGGGTATGGGCGGATAGAGGAGATCCTCCAGATCAAGAATATATATAGATATAGCCGCGGGAAACTTATAGTTTTCGAGATATTTGAGTTTAAAGTTGAAAATTTCAACTATTTAAAGTACGTATTTTTGCGATTTGAAATGAATTATACACTTATATTTTTCACTTTTATATCCACTAACACTTGACTAATTCTTTTAGAAATTTTTTTTTATATTAGATGCTGCAAAAATAGCTTTATTTATTTATGGGCGGATAGAGGAGATCCTCCAGATCAAGAATATATATAGATATAACCGCGGGAAACTTATAGTTTTCGAGATATTTTGGGTTTAAAGGTCAAAATTTCGACTATTTAAAGTACGCATTTTTCCCATTTCGAATGAGTTATACACTTATATTTTCCACTTTTATATCAACTAACACTTCACTAATTCGTTTGTACACATTTATTTTATAATATATAGTGCAAAAATAGTTTAATTCAATAATTAAATTATTGTTAAATTCTATTAATTCTGACAATAACAAAAGGGTTGCAAAATTTCAAATAACCAGTGTTACCTTATCGACATCTTTTGTAATTGAACTGAAAAAAATTAAAACAGATAATACCCCAAATACAGGAATCCAAAACCTAGAGAAATAAACTATTACAAAGCATTGATGTTAAGTATGATGTTATACCCTCTATGACAATATTACTTTTTTCTTGTACAACTTCTTTTTGCGTTGGCGGCCTTCGGCCGAGCTTCAAAAAAAATAACCCTGGTTGGTCCAACACCGGGGTGTATCAAAATATTTTTCGCGCAGAACTTTTTTGCGTTGGCGGCCTTCGGCCGCGCTTAAAAAAAATAACCCTGGTTGGTCCAACACCGGGGTGTATCAAGGTTTTTTTGCGCAGAACTCCTTTTTGCGTTGTTTCCTGTATCTAGGGTACAATCTCTCTGTTTATTTTATTTTTCTTCGTTTACAAAATATATTAGTAAGGCAACACTGATGTTTTGACATTCACAACCATTTTGTTATTGTCAAAATTAATAAAATTGAAGAATGATTTAAATATTGAAATAAAGCTATTTTTGCAGCATCTAATATAAAAAAAATTTCTAAAAACGAATTAGTCAAGTGTTAGTGGATATAAAAGTGAAAAATATATAAAAGTGTATAATTCATTTTAAATCGCAAAAATACGTACTTTAAATAGTTGAAATTTTCAACATTAAACGTAAATATCTCGAAAACTATAAGTTTCCCGCGGCTATATCTATATATATTCTTGAACTGGAGGATCTCCTCTATCCGCACATACCCATTTTATCCCCGAAAGCCTGGGACGTTATTCTAAAGCCGACCCAAAAGAACTATGGACACCCCGGTGTTGGACCGACCTGTGTTATTTTTTGAAGCGCGGCCGAAGGCAGCTGGTCCAGAGAGGAGTTTGACGCGAATGAATGATGAACACCCCGGTGTTGGATTGACCAAGGCTATTTTTTTGAAACACAGCAGAAGGCGGCCAATTTGGTATGGGTTTGCGAAGTCATTTTGAAAAACAATTGTTTTTTTTTTTTCAAAAGAACTTAAATCCTTGTTTGGATATATTTCGATGTGTACAGTGTAATTACAACTAAGTTAATTGAATATGTTATTTATTAAAAAAATTTCACTTTCCGCTCACGGATTTGTCACCTTCGCGTCAAAATAAGACGATTTAAAAAAAAAATTGTAATTTTCGCGGACCCCTTCTTTATGGTACCCAAACTAAAAATTTACTTGAATTTCTATATAGCTCTACGATTTTAGCGTAGATGGGTGTGGATGTATTGTTATAAGTAATAAAACAGATTAGCCGTAAAATACAATACATTATCACTTTTAAGCTTTTTTTTTAAATGCTATCACCCAATCAATGTCTAGATTTTCCGTATTGTATACATTTTGAAACACAGCTGTCTGGAATCTGTTAAAAATGCATTCTTGCTTTGGTTTGGATATTTCCTTTTTTTTAATATGTACACTTTGACCACTGTTTGCTTGTAGATCATTCACATTCTCCAATGCTTCGCATACACCGCACACATATACCTTCAATTATTTAATGTTTCTTTTTTGGCTGTTCCATTGTATGGCATCGTTGCAGCTTGTATCATTATACAAGCGGCTAGGCAATAATTAAACAACACAAATCACACGCTGCTGCCACTGCCACTGCCAATGCTATTGTCATTTGTACGCCAACGCTGGCTAGCTAGCCATTTGTGTTAACGCTAGCGCTGACATTTGCCTTCGTCGTCACTAGCTAGCTAACTCGTCATTTTGTAAAACTTCTGATTTTCTTACAATATTATTTTTTTTAACACTTTTTTACTCTTTACCAATGGCACATCCTTTAGTACTTCTCCTACCAAAGTAAAACACAATAAATTTTTAAGTAATTTTCCACTTTTTATTACGAACTCCGCCCCTATAAAAGATCTATGATCAAGAAAAGAAATATTTTCCGTTTTCTTCCTGTTCAACTAAATAATGACACGAACGAATAAGTTTTTAAGCTCACGTTTGTGTGCATGTGTGAAAATATTGTGACCGTTGCCATACCATCACGAATATAAAAATAACTTTATTCTTTTTATTCCACAAAATATTACACATGAATAATATAGTCAAAGTACAATGCATTATAAAGTGTCTAATTAACCTCACTCGCTTGATATTTTTTCAGAATTTTTACATAAGGTAATTTAGGCACTAAAAACTAAAAATCTCATAATTTCCACACCTGAACTAATCAGTTTTTGATCTGGTGGCCTTAATCAGCTGACAAACGTAATTGAGGTACGATTAGCAAATAAAAACAAAAATGGCAAAAAACGAATGGGGTGATAAGATAGCTGGTAATAGAGTTGCCGAAACGATTTATAAATTTCCCTGTTTATTATTTTACTTAACTTCTATCTCTTTCGATTAGTTGTAAATAATTTATAAATAAGAAGAAAAGAAAATCGTTTCAATAATTTAAAAAATCACTCTTATGTATAAATTATTAATTTTCCAAAGCAAACTCTTTTCGTAGTCCACGTGACGTTAAAGCTTAAAAAGCAAACAGCTTTACGATATAACTAATATTTAATATACCGTACCGTTTATTATTATTATTATTGATATACACATGTAAAAAAATATTTATTGAACAATTTCTCTTCGATCACAATGTTTACCTTTTTCTGCTTATGACTTAAATAAATATATCCCAAAGGCGGTTTTTTCTTAATTTTCAAGTGGAAAGCCATTACCGATATTCAAAAGACTTTTGCTTTCATCGAGACGTTGTGGTCCTGTACCAATTCTTGTATGAATTATATATTTAAGGAGATTTTTGTCATTTTTATGTAAAGTACTATTATTGTAGAAGGCGTCGACCTATAAAAAAATATATATGTATATGTACATATATTTATTACAAATAAATATTATTCTGCATAAATTCAAATAAATTTGGACGCACCTCTTTGGGTTTACGCCTTATAGGTATGCCCTTAACATATTCTGCACTCTCTCCCTCATCATTTGGAAAACTGGTTTGTATTGCTGCCAATGCAGCACTTACATCTTTTTCCAAAAGAAATAGGCAAGCATTTGGTCCGGCATCAAAAGTATAAGCCAACTTTACTTCGCCTGTTTCTTTGTTAAAAGCGTGAACAAATTCGACAATTGCATGTGAAACATCATTCATATATATACATGGTGGAAATGTGTCTAATGCAATTGCATGAAATTGATTCGAATCGCGCATAGTAATTTCTGCCAACTTAGGGAAGTCATGGTTTTTGATTGCATCGATCACTGCCGCTATACGCTGTGGTACGCAATGTTGCGCACGATATGTTAACAAATCTGATGTTTCTACAGCTCGTTTCATACCGTTAGTCGAGCTTGTTTTCTTACGTGAATCGTTTACCACCAATATGAGAATATGAAAGTCCTGCCAATGTTCTGCAGGTACAATGGGAAATCCTACTGAGTCACTACCATCATTACGTATACCCATATGCCAGCGTACAAAACCGCCATGTAAGCTGCGACATGCAGAACCACTACCTTGGCGAGCAATCGCCGTTAATTCTTCATTTTCCACGCCATACAGTTGCGCAAGTGTATATACTAGACAAGCGTAACCAGCTGCGCTTGACGCCAAACCCGCAGCAGTGGGAAAATTATTGCGCGATGCTATGTGTAGTTTCCACACTATGGGGAACTTCAGTTTTCCTTTAGCAATTGCAATTTTTTGTACTAAGAACTTTAAATTTAAAAAATTTGATGGGTAGAATTTTTAAAAAATAAACTTACATTCCTTCACACAACGTATTAACCGTGCGTTCTGCTCAAATGGTACCATTTCGCCATTCAACCACATGACGTTATCTTTAAAGGAAGCTGAAGCAGCTGCTGTTGTCTTAGCGCACATCTAACATAAATTTCCATTACAAAAAGGAATTGTTTTTTAATAATTTACATAAACAAATATTCAAATTGGAACTACCTCGTCGGTGTTAAGGGTCACACTGAGCGAGTCGTTGATGGGTAATATGAGTTCCTCATGTCGCTTTCCCCCTTCAAGCAAAGTCATATTTAAAAACTGTTAAGTACTTGTGTATGTACATAAACGTGCAATCAAAAGTGAAAGTTAACTTACAATATTTGATTAGTGCTATGTTCACAGGTGCAATGCATGTTTCAACAAACATTTTCAAAGTACAAATATATATTTATTTTAAACAATTTACTTCACACTTAATTATTGATATTAAATAGTTGCTGCACCCGTAATTGAAAACCAACTGCTCCACTTTCCCCAAGTAAGAAACTGCCAGTTGGAGCCATTTCTTGGTGTTGTTTTTTACACCATGGAATTAAGTGATCGCATACATTTTAAATGTTTTTCTATGCCATCACACAGCTGTTTAAGCAGAGTTGCTTTCAGTCTTTGAATCATGAAAATATTGTAACAGATTGTTTACAGTAGTGGCGAAAAGAGGCATTTGGATAAAATTTATTTTTGTTTCGACATTTAACGATAAATCCTAGTCACTTATGCACGAAATGGGCATTTGATCTGATTGTTTTAATTCCTTGCGCATAAATTCCCAAAAAATGAACACTGTTAACGAAATAACTTCGCAAAGTAGATCACAAGTTTCCATTAAACCATGTTTTATGAGCCGATACTCAATAAGGTGATGTGAATAACGGGAGGGCACCTTGGTAGCGTTGATACCTATAGATGGCATGCAGGGTAAGTTATAACTATAGTTGTAAACCCCGACGCATTTCTTCTTTCTTCTTTAAAACATTTCCACATATGCTAATTACAAGTCAAGCATAATTGTTCCAACAAAATTACTCCTTTTCTATCTAAATTTGAATTTCATACATATATTTTTAATCAGCGTATGTTGTATCCAGTATATATTTATATATTATATTTCTCGTACATAAAGTAAAGCGTTGCTTTTTATTCTATTAAATAGCTGGAATTATAAGCTTTTTAAAAATATTTATAGCAATGATATACTAACAAATAAAAGGTTTTACGCACATATTAACGTATAATGTACTTTGTGTGCGAATATCTGCAATTTCAAACAACACAAAGAAATCAAATATAATTAAACAATAAGAAAAAGAGAGTCACCCATACAGTAATTCACTAAGATTGAAATGATGAATTTCGTAAACGGGTACATTTAATACATTAAGACTTCATACTTAAATAAGAACAATTTTACATGTCTGTGAGCATTTAAGCGGCCTGCACTGACTGTTTCTGTGACGAACTGATTTTATCACCTAAGCTTAGTGCCATGCCCTGAAAGTGCAAGTATTTCGTTTAAGCATTAATTGTATTTGCTACATTTAATAATACCTGGCTTTTAGCGCGTATGCGTATATGACCGGTGACCTTGGAATCGGGATCGTCCACGGGTTTTTCGATGCTTAAATTTGCCAGAGCGTTTTCACCAAAGATTGATCTTAAATATAATTAATATTGAATGCACTGATTTCTATAAGTTTCATTGACTTTGTTAACTACTCACTTCGCATACATATTTGCAGCCATAAATCCGCATTGGCCGCTGAGAGCCTTCTCCGGAGTCAAACATTTCATGTTGGTGCTTTTCAACAAATGCTTCAAATATTCATGCAAATCGGTGAATGTGGTGTTTACCGTTACCTAATGAAATTACATAAAATACATCAATTATTGAAGAAGGCAAAATATAAAAAAGAAAAATGCGCACCTTATTTTCCCACTCGAAATCTTGCCACATCTGTCTGAACTCGGTGTCAGTGCACGATGCGGGAATTATATAATCCATAATGTCAATGTGTATGGTGTTCAGCACAACAACATTTGTATTGATGCTCGTGTCATATACTGCAAACATAGATAATTAGTAATCTCAAGCAAACGCACTAAAACTAACTAAACTAAAATTCTGCTCACCGATATTTCCGAAAATTATGCCATTCTCTGTAGACGAAACTTTCACATTTGCCTTGATGTTGCAGAAATCATGAGGCGCCAATACAACAGGATGTGGTCGTTCAACCAATTTCAAATCACCCAATGTTGCCAATTCGAGTGTACAGTTTTGTAGAGTATCGTCTGTGTTTTAAGAGATTTCTTATGAGCGACTTTTGTTTTTAAACCAATTTTTGTACTTACTTGTTTGATTAACAATCAATACATCCAAGACGATGTCGTATTGGTTGACATTTACATAAGCCTCAGCGTAGACTGGATCAGAGAAGCCGGTCAATTGTGTTACCTTATTGAGTTTGTTATTTGGCGAAGTGATGTCGCTCAAATTTGTCGATTTTGTGCCGGCCAACGCTTGATTCAAACTAGTTTCGAACACGTTTTCGCCTAATTGATTGTCACGCCCATTAGATAGTTGTGCAAATGCAACGGGATCGTCCGGCTGTACCTTGGCAGCAGCACGTTGTTTCTCTTTTAAAATGCGTTGATCCTCTTCATGTTGGGCATCCAGCATTTTGCCAAGTGCGTCGCGGCAATAATGTTGGAATACTTCGACGGCCTCTTTGGTGCGTTCACTCAGTGTGCGCAAACAAATGAAGATGCGATCTATGTCATCATTGGTGATGGGTTTGGTAGGGAAACCGGATTTTCCAAGATGCAATATGGAACTCATAATGAGCATAACTTGTGTAGTCAATCGATTTTGTTGACGCTGCAAGAGAATAGTGTGTTTTGTAGTGGCAAGTTAGATAATGTTAGTTAAACAATTACTAACCACATCATCCTCCAACTCGGCATATCGTAGTGCTAATTTGGTAAGAGTGGCTGAGAGCGCAGCTCCAATGAAGAAGTCACCATCCATTAAATACTGGCGTAGTGGTGGTCGTTTCTCTTTCTTTGCGACACTGCGATAGTAAAAAAATAGAATTTTTAAATCAGAAATAATTGATTATTTATTTGGTAAAAGAAAACACAACTTACGGCGCCAAACTGAATGCACTTTGGGTAGCATATGTACCATCGGATGTGACTTTATTGCCCGCAGAAGCCGTGTTGGTTTCAGTGGCTTTCTGTCCCTCATCGGTTTGCTCACCAGCTAAACGTTTTTGCTCCGCTTCAACCATCGGTATTTCTCCCAAAGTCTGTATTATGGTTTCGGTTACCTCAAGTATCTGCTCTTTGTTGTCTACGTATTCACCCAATATCCAGACTGCGGCACGATGTATTTTCGACGACTTTATTTGTGGGAATGCTTCTATTAAACGCTCGATAATAAGGGCGCGTAGTGAAGGGAATTTTTGTATAGCCTCACGTATAAAAATTAACACATCAGCTGCAGCGAATTCATTTGTATCGGAAAGGAATTCAACCAACACGGGTATTACATTTGCGGCCACATCAGGGAATTTAATGGAGCACGAGTGTAATGTTCGTACAAGCAATTGGCGATATTTGCCAGTGTCTTCATGCTCAACATTATGGGTTTTAGAAACTTCTTTCTTGAGTACCAGCACCATTTCCTCAATATTGCGTGATGATACTAAATCCATGGCAAGTGCCAATGTCTTACGACGCACTTCAATATCTGGTGCTGCCAGTACACGTAGTATATCCATGACTAAATCTTGCATTACTTTCTCCATATTTTCATTTTCTTTCATAGCAATTAAACGATCTAACACAATAAGTTTGACATTGTTATCGCTATCACCAACAATCAACTCAATATAACAACTGGCTGCGGCACGTATAGCGGTTGGTGCAGAGGATAGTGTAATAAGTGTGCCAGCCGCTTCATAACGCACGGCATTTGATGATGAATTAAGCAGGTTGTAAATGCAACGTATAAACCGTGAACGTTCTGCGGGATTAGCGTGACAAACTTTATAGATGAGCTCCACGATCACCAATTGTAGAATATCACCAAAGTTGTTTACTTGGTCAATGCAAGATGCCAGATAGTTGAGTGCACGTTCTTGATCAGCATGCAAGAGCATCAAAAAGGCATTTCGTTTGCAAGACATATCCTGTTGAGTTTCCAAGAAATTAGCAATCAACTCTGGACCGTCTGGCACTAACCAATCAAAATTTTTGTATATGGTGAAAATAGCCAAAACTGAATTTCGTCGCACGTAAGAATGACGATGTTCAAGACAAGCACGTATGGCTGGCATAAGTGGCTCTAAAAGCTCAGGCTCCTTTAGTTTACACAGGAAACGTAGAGTTGAGCCGCGTAGAAATTCATTGGGATGTTGCAAGTCTTTGCGGTATGCATCACACACCAATATCATTTCTTGCAAAAGTTTGCCATCTGCTGAAGTTTTCGGCACTATCTCCCAGAAGATGAGTAATAGTTTTTTGATTTGATGATTCTGTACCGGAAGCACGAATCTGATGATAGTCATTATCAGACCAGATAAACGTTCCCCGTTCAACAACATTTGTATAACTTTTTTCAAAGTCTCGATTTTCATATTGGTATCTCCCTTTTCGAGGTCTTGTTTAAGTTGCATCTCGTTTGGTACCTCGATGTCCGGCGAGTTGATGATTGTATAGCAAGGTCCCTCGGCCAACGCCATGTTTGTTACACAAATTTATCTAATGCTTTTTTCTGCACTTATTTGAAGAATAAATTCAAATGGATATGATTTGTAAAATTCGTGCACAAATATTGAAAACACTGAAATATTGTTTAGATTACACAAATTCTATTTGATTTTATAATTTTCAAGAAAACATGTATTGTGGAAATACAATTGACGTGTCAAATCCTCAGCTAATATTGTGCTTCTTCTTCTGCGAACATTTACAATCGACTATGACATCTGCTAAGTGGCATTGCCAACTTCGATGAACTTGTCAGAATTTGTAACGTCAGATGACGCTCCAGTTTGTTTACTGTTCAATTGTTGATTTTATTTGTTTTTGTTTGATAGTAGTTAGTGTAGTTTGGCTTGGACACGACATCAAATAAGCTTTCCTATCTACGACAACTGTGGATGTAGGTTTCTAATATAGAGTTTATTGGATTTTTCTATGAGCTATACGAAACGCAGAGAAAAAATGGGGCGCACGATACATATTCATCGAGTGCCCGCTTCCATTGTCCTCATCACGATAACACTTATTATAGTGTATTTCGTAAATTTCCATGAGGACGAACGGCCTGCTGTCTATGGTTTGCTACGTAATCAAAATAAGGTGAATTTACGCAAGCTACTGATTGGTGCGATACAGGCAGCACAACGAGGTGGCTTGGAAGTCCTGGACGTAGCTCAATCGCGAAATTTAAGAGAACGTAGTAAAGGTAAAACAGACGAGGGTGCAAACGACCCATTTACGGATGCGGATGAACGTTCTCATTGTGTTATGAAAGAAGGGATACATCGAATTTTTCCCCGAGTTAAAATATACTCTGAGGAAGACAAAGAAAGCTGCAGCGATGTAAATACTTTCGATTTAGATCCAACAGTACTGCACGAAACAGCCAACTTGCCCAATGAATTGGTTGATATAAAAGATGTCACAGTATGGATTGATCCTCTAGATGCAACTCAAGAATTTACAGGTATAAATATTTAAAGCTAGTGTATTCATTTTGGACAAATCATGTATTAATGAAAATTTGTACAGAAAAACTTTATCAATACGTCACGACCATGGTGTGTGTAGCAGTGAGAGGAAAGCCTATTATCGGCGTTATACACAGTCCGTTTATAGGACAAACTGCGTGGGCTTGGGTGGATCATTCAATGTCTGAATATTTAGCATCCATACACCCTGTTAATCCAGACACTTCAAAACCACTTATAACGGTATCACGTTCTCACGCAGGTAGCGTAAAAGATTTAACACGCAATGTTTTTGGTGAAGGGTCAGAGATCTTAACGGCTGCCGGCGCTGGTTATAAAGTTCTACAAGTATTATCCAACAATGCTACGGCGTATTTACATTCCACGAAGATAAAAAAATGGGATATTTGCGCGGGAGATGCTATTTTAAATGCACTTGGCGGAGTTATGACGAATCTTAACGACGAGCTGATTGATTATGGGCCAGAAGGTTCACCAGTGAATGATCAGGGATTACTAGCCACGCTTAAAAACCATGATGAGTACATGGAAAAATTGATGAAATATCGAAAGAGCCACACTCCGCCTGCACTCAGATAGTTAGAAAGTTATTGGTATAAAGATTTAGAAAATAGGTAAAAAGCTCAGGCTGTTATTTTTAGGTTATATTATATATATCGTGTAATAATATAACTGTTTTTGTACTCATACTAAGTGTTCATGTGTTTTAAAACAGTAAACGTGGGAATAAAAAACGATGTGTGTTTTCAACAAAAAATATGTTGATTTATTTAGGTCAATGAACCGGCATTAGTCGAAAGTCCGCTATAAGCTTCATTACATAATTATGCCAATCGATAAAGCTGTGTTTGTATAAAAAACCTGTTTGAGCTATTATTAAAATTCTTGCTTTAGCATCTTATCTCTTTAGCAAGCCTTTGAGTAATGAAATATATTAATAAAAAGCAAAAAATGATTCGGGGGAACATGCTAAGCCCTAATGGCCACTTAGTTTTTATCACATACGCTTAATGCATATGAATCTATAGTATACACATATTTACGTATATGTATAGTATATAGATGATGTGTTGTCATGCTTTATAATTCTGAAGTTCCAATTCCCGCACCATCAATGATTGTGGAAGAATGTATTACATACATACATATGTATGTACATATATGGATATGTGTTACAAATGTTAGGAAATAGCTGCGTATGCATTTGTGGACAACACCATTGTATTTTTTATTTATTACCAAAGCAGCACTATGTACTACAAAAACAGCTGATTGCTGCAATTCTTATTTTCCTTTCACTTCTCAGCTGACTACGGCCACGGTAGTTAAAAGCGTCTGTTATCAGTAAATAACTCAAATGTTATCAGTGTATTGACCTTAACTAGTTTCTAATTGATAGTGCAATGATTAGCGATGAATGTGTACATAAGATAGAACTAGATAATCTAGAGAACGGCGAAATTATAAAGCACACGGTACTATTAATCAAGGGGCACATTCGTCAGCAGCGGCAGGCCAAAAAGTGTACAGAGCAACAAATTTTATTACGAGTTAGGCACGACGCTAGCGTTCTAGACGCAACTTGGGAGTTGCAGATGCGGTCAAAAATTTCCAGAACCGGTCAGTTCAAACTACTCTGTGATTTCGGTCAGCATGAACTCGAGACAGTCTACACACAAATACCACTCATATTAAATTTTAGCTACTGCAATATTGTGTATCAATGCAAGATCCTGTATGAATCTATTTCTTACAGCAAAAACAATTATCGCCTGCAAGCATTGTACATCACATGTGTAAATCAGAAGCCTTTGGTGGCGGAGCAAGTGCATGAAAATTGTGAAAAAATCAATTTGAATCTACGTTTGGTGCAGTCTGTATATGCCGAACAGTTGCGGTCTGCTGGTTACGGTAGAATAACTTTTATATTGAACAGCGATTGTAAAGTATTTGAATCCCGCTTAACATGTGAAGAAGCTTGGGAGCAGTCTGAAGAAAGTTTGTGGCAAAATTTTGCAAAAGAAATACTTAACTCGTCAACTTGGGGTAGTGAGAATAAATTGAAGTTTGTGGCATTCATTGGTTGTACAATATATGATGGTGCAGCCGTAGCAGCCACAGGAGATTTTTCTTACTCAAATATACGTAAACATTTGAAGGGTCACGCAGCATTAGGTGGTGGTGGTCTAGCGCTTTTTGGCGCGGCCTATTTATATGCATGGCCAAAGTGCTTTAACGAAATCAACGCATGTTTTGGCAGCAACAAGTTGGTTGATCTGACACAATTACCAGACGATAGCAACTATCGGCGTACATATGGCGGTGTTTATGCAACTACTTTAGGTGCTGTAGTGCATGAAATTGGACACACCTTTGACTTGGGTCATACTAAAGATGGTGTGATGGGCAATGGTTTCGATTATATTAATCGCGTTTTTACGATAGACAATTTGACCGAGCATCTGCCGGAAAGAGTCATAGAGCGGCCGCTGCCAGAATTGCGTACTGAAATCACTGCGCGCCCACGTTTCACACAACTCAAACGTGCCACAAGCACTTTTTTGGAAAAGTATCACGAACAAAAGACAAATGACGCATTTTATTTTACGCGAAATTGTGCAATTATTTTAGCATATAATAAATGGTTTGGAAATTCAAACGGCTATGATGCTGATAAGAATACAGATGATGCTCTCATAACCTATGATGCCGGTAATAACTGTGTGATTACTGAAGGACACGAGAATCCACTCTGTCTGATGGAGGTGCGTAGTATTGATAACAGTTTAGTGAAATACTGGTATGAACCGCAGTCAAACAAAGAGTGTAGCCAAATTTATAAGTTCTATTTGCCAAAGGAAGCACTCAAAGCACTCGGAGAGAATCATTATTTGTTTGTGTTAACACGGTCGGGCACAACAAAGCGGTTGTGTGAGCATTAAAATTGTTTTATACAATATTAAATGTGTTTAAGTGTGCACTGTGTCAAAAATGTAAGTACATATATGTAAATATTTCAGTGAAATTTTGAATAAAATAATTGGAAATATACTTTATGTTGTACTAAATGCCTTAAAGAACTAAATTACTTTATTAAAAAAGTTTAAAAATATTATATTTCTATTTTTTGGGGCTATACTTCCGATTAGGTTCACAATTTTATTTTACACAGAGGTTCTTTAAGCCATTAGCAAAAAGGCCCTATGTGTATATTTGTACATCATCGCAATGATAAATATTCACAACAATATTAAAACATTATACTATTACAAGCATATGATAACAATATTTTAATGCCGAAGGGAGTTCTTTGTTAAAGAACTAAGGATATCCCGATGTTGTTTCGCAATCCATTTGTGAAGCGCAGCTGGAGGAAAAAAAAAAATTATGTACATATTGTATTGTACCTCAAATACTTTATTTGAATTTTCGTAAAATTTTGTCCAAATTATTGTTTAATATTTCACATTTGCAAAAAAAAAAGAGAAAAAGAAAATCTGGCGATGTGGCGTGACCTAATCGGAAGTATAGCTCATTAATGTTTGTAATATTGTAATTCTTTAAACTTATATCATGTACAAACTTTTATCTACACAAACTATTATATTTTCGTAACTTTATACTATTTCACAGAAATTAATCTAAAACTGAACTCAAATGGATTGAAGGAATTTAGTATTTATTTACATCGAAAAAAAGTTTTTTGATTAAAAAATATATATGTACCATATATGTGTGTATGTACATACATATTCATTGATGATAAACAATTCGGTAATCAGAGTCACAATATCAACACTCACAAGCAACAAAAAATAAATATAAACAAAATAGTAAGCAGTGCTATAATAAGACATACATACATATGCATATACAATAATTACAACAATAGTTGACCGAAGTGGAGCTACTCGAAAGTAACCGCAAAAGAGAGCCAACTTTCTTTGAAAACCTTGATAAAATAAATAAACGAGTTAATTGTGTATTAGCGCTTAACAAGCAGTTTGCTAGTTGTCGCCTTGACGTCGTCAAAGTCACACTCACGCAAGTAGCTTGCGGCCGAGCCACGTTAGCAGTTTGAAAAAAAAAACGTGTTAACACGTACAAAGCGCGACTTAATCATTGATAGTTTAGTAAGCTGCTAAAACAATAATAACGAAAGCTTAATCATCAGCTGACATTGCTGCCTCTAAAAAGAATTGGCAACAAATTTTGAAAAATAGAAATTTCAAACTATTTTAAAAAGAAACTTAACGCGTTGACTGGTCTTGAAAATTTCCAAAGTTGAAAAGATATGCAAAATAAACAAATCTACTTGAAATACTTGTAGATATACAAGTAGTATACAAGTATATTATTTGTAGTTATGTTTGCAACACAAACATAGCGGATATTCTAACTAGAACATTTATCAGCGTTAGTTGTTATCACAAAATAAATGATAAGATAAAGTCGAATCATATTAGGGCGAAATCGAACCCAAAATTGAACGTTTTGATTTTTGCAATTTCTGTACGTTCCCGTCTATGTAGAAAGTTGCACGCGGTTTTCCGAAACAAGAATATATTGCGCGGATACATGCAAATAATAACACAAATACATATATATAAAGTTTAAATTTTGAATAACAAAATAACCAACTAGTTAGAAACGCTGCAAGAATGTCAACTCCACGTATACAATTTAAAGCATTGAAGGGTTTCCCGCCTGCCACTGAAGATAAAATTGAAACAGAAGCATTTCTGGAGTCTGCAAAAGAAATTGTTACCGTTATTGGTGAGTAAGCGTTAAATAGAATATGTAGCTATTTAAATGCATTTATGCAAAATATTTGTGTAAGAGTGTATACATATACATACTTACTATATAATTATTTAAAATTGATCTAATGGCTACTGCTCTCTATCTATGAAATTTTTCAACGTTTAACACCCATGATTGTATGTATGTGTATGCACTTAAGTTTTTCTCGTATTAGTTTGCACAAAAGTTATTTGAAGTTAAAAGACAGATTTACTGCAATATTCACCACTATTGTTTGCACTAAGCTTTTCATTAATTTTGTTTTTGTCAAGTAGAAGTGTTGTTGTTGTTGTTGTAACGGTTACCAAGTCCCCGTTTGGGTGATAAATTCCAGATTCGTTGTCGTCGAGGTCATCTAACGGGAGGTCCAGGAATCGAGCTGTTTCGACGGGGTCGGACCATAGGGAGAAGGGTGTTAGATGAGTGGGGTTTGTTGGGCATGCAAAGAGGTGGTTAATGTCATGCGGAGACTCATTGCACGCAGGACATGTGTTTGGTATGTCGGGGTCTATTCTGGATAAGTAGGAGTTTAACCTGCTACAGTATCCAGAACGAAGTTGCGCGAGGGTCACTCTGGTTTCGCGAGGCAACTCGAGCTCTACGTCTGCTATGGGTGGTGGTTTGACTCGTAATACGCCATTCACTGAGAGGGAGTCGGTGAAGGTGTTGATGGCTCCACTGTGAATGGCGGTCAGTGCCTGTCTGAAGTTCGTTGCGTCCGAAGTCCGGTCGGCGTACTGTCTAATGTCGTCGACGTGATCAAGGAAAGACCTCTTGATGTTCCTAGGAGGCGGCTCCGCTACAAGCAGGCGACTACAGGGGTGGTTTCTACGAAAACACCCCAGCAGAAACTGCTTGGAGAGGAGTTCGTTGTGTTCCTTAACCGGAAGCATACGGGCCTCACTATGTAGGTGTTTGATTGGAGACATCAAGAGGCATCCCGTGATAGTCCGGAGTGCAGTGTTCTGACAGGTCTGAAGCTTCTTCTTCTGCGTGTCACTGCATCCAGGCGACCATATTGGGGCTGCATAATTTAGGACCGGCCGGCCGATTGCCTTGTATGTTGCCAACAACGTTTCTTTGGCAATTCTCACAACAGCCGGTTCTGCGATACCGGAATTGACCCGGATTTTATCCGGCCAAGGGCTGTTATTTCGGCGATCTAACCCTGTTTGGATCGGTAAGTTCTTCAAGTAGAAGTGTATTATTTTATTGGTTGGCAATAATGTTATAAATATTTGTAGATTTATTGCATTTAGGTTTTTGTTTGCAGTTTATTTACATATCACACATCGCTGATAAGAGAGCTTATATCTGCACATATTGACGTGAGTGATATTAAATAATTTTTCGAAATCCTAGTCCTGTCCTATTTGTGAATATAGCGCCAACACCCAGATATCATGTTTGTCTTTATTTAACGGTTTAGTTATTTTATTTATAGTAAAATTGTGGCATATCTATATGAGTAAAATTCGTTGATCTTTATTTTTATGAAGCCTTTGTTTCTTGCCTTTATTTGTTATCTTGACGATCTAGAAGCTGTTCATCTGTATGAATTAGTCCCTCAGTTTACCATATGTTATGTCGATTAGAAAATTTTCACACGTTGTTTTCTCTCCGTGCATTTGCTCATTTACCGGAACTGCCGATATCGGAACACTATATTATATAGCTGTCATACACACTGACCGATCAAAATCAAATCCTTGTGTGAAAAACTTTTTTTTTTGACAAGTTATTTTCACAAAAGTTAACCAAACTTATTGGCCATGAAAACACTACAATCCCCTAAAATATTGTTCAGATCGGATCACTGTAGCATATACCTGCCTTACAAACTGGTTACGGCATAACTGAAATCATCAGTATTAACTTAAATTGACTTAAGCTATTTTAAACTAAGCATTACAAATCCTTCAACATTTCTTTATTGCGAGGCTTTCAAAAATTACACTACCTCCTTTTTGTAGCATAAAAAATTCAAAGCAAACCAACTTGTAAAATTCGGACCATCATCATAATCATCGCTTAATTATAATTAATATGGTTAATTATATTATTATTAATTAATTAATGCTTCTGCCTTTTATTTTTACTGACTGCACATAATCTTACCTAATCTGCATGTAAATCGTATAGGAGCATTACAAACATGCTGCTCATACATACCTACATATATAAACATTAAACAAATAATCTAATATTTCAATCAGATTGGATATATTGTATATACATATGTACATACGTCAAAGCTCTCATAAAAATTAACTTTTGAAATTAGTAATGAAAGGGAATTACGTTCGTTGCTCGTTATCATTTATTGCTATTTTTTTATAGTTGCTTATGGTTGTTGCTAATAAAAGCATGTTAGCTTTAATCGTTATGTACATACATATGTATGTGAATTTGATAAAAACAAAAGAGTGAACCTGCAAATAAAATACCCAGCCACCCATGTATATATGTATATCTTGCAGAGTCCTTCGGCAAACTATTTACACCTGTGATAAGTGATATGAACGGCAATATTACGGTATGTTAATGATAACAATTTCAATTACTAAAACTGTTATGTATTGAATACTTTTTAATTTACTGTTAATACATTGAAATTAATCTCGAATTTTTACAGAAATTAACAAAAGTCTATAATATGGACAAAATCAAATATGTCTACCTTGAGGATATGATCATCTTGAATGTAAAAGTAAACAATTTCGCTGCGGACGCGCTTTTGTGGTTGAAACGTGGCCTTCAATTAATTTGCATCTTCTTCGAAAACATCTTCTACGACGCGCAAGCGACGGAGGTGCTGAAAACACATCTGCAGAATGCATACGAGCGCACACTGAAGCCTTATCACGGTTTCATAGTTCAAAGCACCATAAAAGTAGGTTGATGCGGTTGTGGTGAGCTGGAAAAATACTAATAATAAATAGGTTTTAAGTACTTTTTCAATAAAGTAAGTTTTTTTTGCATTGCAGATAATCTACAACTGGGTTCCTACACGCTCACAGCTGATCGGTACAGGCGAGGCGCACGACGAGAATCTGCAAGAATTGGAGAAATTTCTACCGACAATGCATAGCCACTTGAATCGCATCGATGCGCTGCTAAAGCAATACAACGTTGATAATGCGAAGGTGTGAGAAATGCGCAGCGGAGACCTATTTTTTTTATTCTTATAACGTTTTATTCTATAAACACTGAACCAGTTAATCCAAAGAGGCTGCTGCAATGACAACACATGAATTTACCACTTTTTTAGGCCAGTTTACACTATGTTATCATTTATTGGTACATGCGTTATTTATCAATTAAGCATTTTACGTTGACAAACCATGTATTTTTAATGTATTTTAGAGCATTTGATAAATATTAGATTATTATGTAATACTAATGATGCAATTTCGCTTAAAATATTTATAATTAAAATTGAATTGATTATAAGCTTTATTATGTCATTTTATTTACTTAATCAATAAAATTTTATATTTATATGTATTATACAAAAATTTTAAAAATTATATTAAATTAAATTTAATTTAATTAATTAAAATTTAAAAATTATATTAACTTACATTTCATGTAATTAATAATTATTTATTTATTTAAATTATAACACATTTGACGTGTCCTCAGCATTCGCACTTTCTTGTTTGGCATTTTGCATTTGCAACGCAATTTGTCGCTTCAGTTTGTGCAAATCATTTTGATGTTTCGCAAAAATATGCCATGCCCACATACCGGCAATTAATTCAATTAGCATTAAACAAAACATTAACTCTATAATGATATATATGAGCGTCCAATCACCACGCACGGCGAGAAAGAGAAACGCGAGCAGCGGTAGTTGTATTAACGGTGTTGTCACAAGAAAGATGCTCAGCTCGCTGATCTATCATTGAAATATAATTGCTTTGATTTTGCAAAAAAAAAACCTACTTTCTAAAAGATAGCACACACTCACATACCTCTGCCCCCAAGTTGCCTCTATAGCCCGCGCGTAAGCGATAAAATTCGGCCAGCAACGATAGTATATAGGCGAATATAACGGCGCGTCCATAGAAGTCCTGCATCTCTGACAGCTAATTTTAATGGAAATTGAAAAAAAAAATTATATATAACATTTTTTTGCTTAAATATTTTACATGTACACTCCTTACATTATAGAGTATATAGCAACCGTAAATTATTCCCCAAATTAGTGACATGTAAGCATTGATTAGCATAGCGGCTTGTAGCCAAACATTTGCGTTGTAGGATATGTCTGGAAAAGCATATTAAAACATTCAAAAGAATTTAAAAAAATTATGCTTTTTACTTACCCGCCACACTGGATTTTGCAAGCATTTTTATATTGGACATATTAAATATTTATTCAGAAGCGTTTGACAGTCACTTGTGAGTGCCAATAAAAAATCCCACAATGAAAAACCTACACACTTACATGTGTATATACATACATATTTATGTAACCAAGGCGACCTGTTTGTTTGAAAACAACTGCATTAGAAAACTAAGCAATTGCCAATTTGAGCAAAAACTTTTTTTTCTGCTGCTTATAGGGATCCACAAATTTTAATTGCACAGAGTGCCGTTATCGTAACGAAAATATACATATGTACAGATGTCACCTAATATCCAAAACAACTTATCGTCACAAAATTCGAAATTGAGTTTTTCATTCATTAGAATTCACTACATCATACATATATGCAAAGTTTAAAGCTTCTGCTGCTAGATTTAAATAAGTCATAATCAAAATACCAATTTTGTTTCGGTATGAGTAGTTTCTTCTTTCTCCAGTAAACTTATGGACTGATGTTACCTTATTTTGTATTTTAGGAAACCATATAATTTTTTACAGTTAATCCCCTAAGTTCTGATAATTTTGTATACCTGAACTTTTTTATTAATTGAAACACCCAGAAAGAATTGTCGGAGACCCTATAAAATATATATGTAAATTATAACCATGTCCATCTGTCAGTTTCTTTTTCTATATATACTTGTACGCGAACTGGCCCCTCAATTTTTGAAATATCGATCTGAAATTTTGCACAAGTCCTTTTCCCTGAGAAGTTGCTCATTTGTCGGTATCGCCGATATCGGACCATGACAGCCATACAAAGTGATCATTCGAAACTAATGACTGTTGTTGTTGCAGTGAAAAATTTTTATTTTCCGTCTGCCAGCTTTTTTCTGATGCTGGTTTTTTAGTCTTGAGGAATGATGCTAAGGAGACAGTTCGTAGATGGATATAAATCGAGGTCTCTTCCGATTAACCGTTATTAGTTATACGTTTATCCATGGAAAAATTTCATTTCTGATTTCTAATTTTAGATCTTCAGTGACAGCGAAATTCGAGGATTTGTCACAACAAAAAAAATCCCCATCTAATGGGATTCGCATTACCTGATATCTGTCATTAGCCAAGCGAGGAGCTGCATTTTTAAGGATTAATTTAATTATTGCTCTTCACGCAGAGGGTACATTAATAAGAATTCAATAGAAAAAAGTAGTTTTGTTGTTATATTATATTTTCAATCAAACATACATTAGTTCACTCCGCTTACTGTGTTAACTACACCTTGCCCTGTTTACAGCCCTCTAAGTTGTAGCTTCATTAAATTTTTCAACTACACTGTTTTATAATAATTCATAATATTTTTTCGCATTTCGATGGTTTCAACAAACTTATTAAATATTAATGTTAACAAATGTATGAGTATTATTGGAAAATATGTATGTATACATTATTAGTATGGCAAACTAGTGCTGAAAGCAGTGCTTAGGCCCAACACTACAAAATAATAAAAATAAGTATAAATTAGGAACTGCATTAGGTGGTAAGATTACTTACGAAATGAGTTGTTTTCAATGTATACTTCATTGTTCAGCTCTTTGGCCATATACTGATGGCAACGTATGTATGTAACCTCTATGGCGTCGATCTGCGTATGTGCAATATAATCAATCTCTTCGGAACTTTCGTTCATATCCACCGCCGCCCAGGGATTACGCTTAATTTCAATGTAATTCACACAACTGTTCCACTCCAGGCGCAAAATATATGTTAGGTTCAGTAGCTGAAAGATGACGATAAACATAAGAAATTACAGTAATAATTTGTGCTGAATTAACACAGTGCTATGCTCACTTGTTCTACACCCGTTTTCAGCGAGGCGAAATTATCCGCCAAGAAGCAGTGTTCACATACTGTATTCATATATGAGCGATGTACCGTTACCATTTCTTTGAGATTCGTGCATTTTACGATCTTTTCATCCAATTGCTCGCCCATTGCTTGTAGCACGTGTGTCATGAAATGAAAGTGTAGACTCTGTAGCGCGAATAGCATCCAAAAGCGTAACTGTTCGAGACGTCGCATCAGCAAATCGGCCATTTCGTATGGTGCATAGGGTCTTCGACGTTTGTGCGCACGTGGAAATTGTAAATTTTCCAAAGTGGTTAGGCCCCATTTGACTTTCAGTAGAAAACGAAATACTTTATTATATGCTTCTAAATCTTTTGGTGTTATCATATGTGCTAATTCGGTGCTTAAATTATATGACAAGGAAAGTTCCTCAACAGCTTCATGGACCTACAGCGGAATAAATTGAAATAAATTAACGGTTATAGCAGGCTTGTTTGTTTTACCCTAACGGTGCGACTTCCAAATGTCGAGCAGATCTCAATACGAAATAATGAAGACATATCTGGGAATTTAGCACATATTATGTCATCCAGTTGAGATGTTAGTAAAAACGCATTTGCCCAACCCTCGCCTGATTCGATCTGTTTACAGAAAATACAAGAAAAAACATTAAGTTCGGTTGCACGAAGCTATAATACCCTTCACAGGTGTATTTCTTATAGTATAAAAGGCTACTCGTATAAAAAGATTTTTATCTTGATTTTGATCGAATAGTTTTTTATGAAAGCTATATGCTATAGTGGTGCGATCTGTACAATATATTCGGAAATTGTAGCGTTGTCTTGGGAAATAGTTCACAAATTATGGTATAATAATTCATATCAAATTTCGTAAAGATATCTTGTCAAATAAAAAAGTTTTCCATGCAAGGGCTTGATTCTAATCGGTCAGTTTGTATGGCAGGTATATGCTATAGTGATCCAATACCATTGATTCTGACAAATAATCATCTTTTTGGGGAGAAAGAAAAGTGTGTAAAATATCAGACCGGTGTCTCATCCATGTTTTCATCTGGGTGCTACAAACTTCGTGGCAAACTTAATATATCCTGTTCAGGGTGTAAAAATTAACCCATTTTATTTCCAATTGTTTTTCTCAACAATTTCGTTAATCCTTTCCCTTACCTGTTTGAACAGTTTACTGTAGAACTGATGCATTATATCGCTCGCCTCTAGTAAATATATTTTACGTATATTCCGCAGATGTTTCAAAATATCGAACTCTTCGCGATACAACCGCATTACGAACGAGTTTGCGAATGCAATACGCGTTTTGAGTATACGACTCAATGCATTCAAAACTACCTCCTCTATAGGTAAAATATTTTGCGATTGTTGGAATTGTTCAAAAATCTCTAAAGCTGTTGTTTGCTCATTTTTTGTTGTCTTTTTCGCGGGCGTATCGCATTGATCGCCCTCTGCATTCTCACTCTCGTTCAAATCCATATTCATTGTGAAAGCCAGTAGTAGAAAATCATCATTTGTTGTTAGTTTTTTGAGTATTTGGAATTCTTCATTACAGTTCTGCGATGTATGTTGCACATCTGTTTCGTTTACATCATCTTCCTCACTACCCACTTCATCAACCTCATCGACATAGTTAGACATATGATCACTTTCAATGTCTAGCCTGTCGTTCTCTTTGGCCTCTCTTGCTGCCTCGGTGATTTGTTTCTGCAAAATGCGCACATGTCTCAGTACATCTTCGATGAAAACGTTGTATAATTTATCCTCAATGGCATCACAAGCGTTACGCAATTCGCCAATACGCCTAATTTCATAGAGTAGATTTAACGTGCAACCAGCTTCGAGTGAATGTTCCAATAAAAGTTGGAAAAAGCTATTTTCAGTTATCATTTTTGAAACTTGTGTTGACACGAAGAATGCCTTAGCTTTATTCTTATAAAATTCGCGCACACGTATACTTTGACCCGATTCATTTACACGTTCGATTATGAATTCATTATGCCAATCATCCAAGCGGCCTTCAGTCCACCATGTGTCGGCAATGATTAAGAACACTCTTACTGATGCGAGGAAAAGCGACATCGCTAGATTCGCCTCAATTGCCGTAGTCGCAGTCCGGTTGCAATGAATTAAAGCGGCTAATAAGTGCATGCTTGAGATATGTGCTGGCAATTGACGTATATTCAAGACCGCTTGTTGATGTATGTTATGCAGATGGGAAAGTTTAGCAAACGTGGGTCGCAATTTATTGTGTAAGCTGATGACAGTGTTAATTTCACAATCGGGTTGAATAAGCAAGTTTCTTTCACATGCAAGCAATTCATTCCAGATAGGCTCTAGTAGTAGCTCCAAGCTAGCTGCATAATGCTCCAATGTATTTGGCGGTGTAAAATCATCTAAACCGTATATGAGTTTACTGAAATTGCGCATCTCCTGCATCATGTGTATATAAGGAAGAAAGTGACTTTCTAACATTGAACAAAGAGCAATCTGAAAAGTTTTTAAATAGTTTTAAATACATGCAAAATCAAAATGCGAACCTCGTACCGATCTTGTGCTGGTCAGTGTGACATTTTTTCTAACTTTAATGCTTTCACCATTGATTAGAAAAAATTTGCAGGTTTGTGGCACTTGAAACATCCAGAATATTTCACGCAATAAACAATATTCAGTAGCTGTTTCGGGTGGATCACGCTGACGTTGACCTCCTGCAGCTTTATGAAGATTATGGTATTCTAATGCGAAATTTGCTTCTCTATTTGTGCTCTCTATATGCGGCTGCACTATTCTAACACCCTTTTCCCACCAAGAATTTTGAACAGTATTTAACAGTCGTTCTTCTGCCGATTTGCTATCGAACGTAGTGCAGGGAAAACATCTTCCTGGTGGTTTAATATCTTCCATTCCACGGGGTGGTATTGGTGTGTTGGATCGCGTAGGGAAAGAAAACTCATCTGACGATCTAACTTCAGAATTTGCATATAAACCCATAAGCTCATCTATTGTTGCATCCGACCAGTACTTAAGGAAAAAGTATAAAAAATTAGAAATAATTTTCAAAAATCCATACCAAAATTATACTATGTACTAACACTCAACTCCGAAGAACTACTATAAGAGCGTTCTAATGGTATAATATCTTCCTGTAGCACTTTTTTCCAATACTCGGTCTCATTTTCAGTGCTATTTTCACGTACAAGCTCTTCATGCTCCTTTAAGAGCTTATCAATTTTATCTTTGTTTTTACGTAGCGCACCAGTAGGATTGTTTGCAAGTGATAGTAGAAAATCTAGTAATGACCATTCTATATCAACTTCATAATGCTCTTTACAGAGCGGATGTTGAATGATCTCATCACATAGTCTACCAAGATGTTCAGCATACTCCAAATTATTATCGACAGCGAATTTTTCTTGTATTCCTTCTATGCGCCTACGCACCTCATGGCTGTTGGTGCTTAGATTGCGATGGTTTCGTATGATGGACCAAGCCATTTGTTCGTAGCTGCGCAAATTTTCATCATCATCCGCGAAACCGGTGAGCGCTTTAACAAGTAGTGGTATATTCTCGCGTATGATTTCATTGCGTTTCTCCTGCACAGACATTTCGCTTTACAAATAGTTGCAACGTAATAATAACATCTATTTGAAATATATTAAAGTATCAGGGCTAGACCACTATTCCAGAGTTAAATGTTTTTATTTTTGTTTATATTCTTTACGTACCGTTTACTATGCTTCCTCTTGGATATTTTTGCTGAAAGTTCACAGTAAACTCATTCACAATGGTACCATACCAAGAAAATGTTAAATTGCTATTGGAAACTTTAAAATTTGTAATTGAAGTTCTTATAAGTTATTTTTAAAATAATTAAGGATTCAAATATTCTTACATATAACATACTGAAACTAGTACCAGAATATCTTTATGTCTGCAGTTTCTACATTGTCAATATATAAAGCCAAAAACGATAGAATACTAAATTGCAACAAGAACTTGCCGTTACTTCTTCTGTTTTCTATTATTTTTGTCGTGGGTTATGTTTTCCCACTCTCCACTTCCGTTAGTTTGCGGTATCGGTAAAATTAAATTTTACAGTACAGGGTTATAAAATTTTTAGTAATTTTAATTAAATTAAAATGTTTTTCAAGTGCAAAATAGATATTTCTTTTAGCATTTGAGTGCATAGCATGTATGTAAAATAAAATATTGCATTAATATGTTGTTATAATATCGTAAAAATATGAAAAATTTGATGAATGCTACTTTGGCAAAATCATTCATCGGATACATAAATATGGATCGTTCCGGCGTAGGTGTGTGCGTATGTGTTCGTTTGCATTTCCTCATTTATACCGAATAATTTACATGTCTTCATATTGTTTAGTTTATTGTTATGTTTTCGCTTATGACTTTTGTGAGCAATATTTAAAATATATTTATTTTAGTATTTTTTATGGAAAATAATGTACTATCGCGAATTACTGTCTTAAACTTTTTTAGTTACTATTTTAATATATACAGACACATAATTAATGGTACCTGCAACTTTTATACAATATACATACATACATGTTCATGTACAATAAATAAGGTTTGCGAATATTTTTATTAAAAATTTTGGTTAAAAAGTAAATTTTTCAATTTTTAACTCTGGTGTGAGGATGAAAAATTTGATTTTTAATTAGATTTTTTCTTGTTTTGTATTATTCAATATATCTATCACGAATATTTCTATTTCCAAGTTTCAAAAAGTATATAATGCCAAAATTGGATTTTTTCCGTAGAACCGAGTGAGCTGAGAGTGAGAGAGCAATCTCTTGCAACGCAGGGTTGCCAATATCGATATATTGTAGTAATTACAAAATGAACTTGAATATATTTGAAATATTCTTAAAATAACTCAAAATTACAGTAGAATACAAGAATTTATTTATAAATGTACATTTAGTTATAAATAGGTAAACTATTTCTAATAGTTGGATTTTAGTTTTAACCTTTACTTTATGAAAAATTATAACTAAAAAACTAAATGTTTGAAAAATCGTGTATACAATGGCAACATTGGTGAAATGAAAACAAAAGAGAACAACTGATTTCTGCGTTCCAACTACGGGTATAACTTTTGACAAATTTGGTTTGATACGGCGGTAAGTACGGAAGGGAGGAATGTCGGTGACTGTTTGTGCTATAATAATCAGTTCAGTGTTTGCTTTCGCTTATTAACATTGGTGTGGGGAGGTAACAAAAATTTTATTGCAGTGAACTTTATAAGCTTCTCAGAAGACTTAATGATTCAAGAATGCCTGTTTACAGCACTATTGATCGGTTTTTTTTAAACTTCTACGGTGGCTGTCTTCGTGTGGTTCGAACCAATTCAGCCATAAAAGCTGTTTGCAAAGGCACTCGCAGAAATCCTATTAGAAAACAGAAAATTATGTTAAGGATCAATGCCAAGACTTATTCGAAATGATCGCTACATTTTCATGTAGTCCTACCGTCGGTCAACTGTTCATCTTCTGACAACGTGCACGAAGCAAATTAGGATCAACAGATGCCAACGGCTTCTTCAGTGGCACGCGCGTGCCCATGAAAGTATCATTTTTATAGATAAAAAAAGTTTTCACTGTTGAAGAAATTTTTAATAACGACAAAATATATGCAAAAACTTCCAAATACCCAAAAAATGTAATTTCAAGAGTTCAACGTGGTCACTAATTAGCTGCTGTAATGGTTTAGTGCGGAGTCTCTTTTAAAGGCGTAGTAAAGCAGTTAAGCAATACCCTCGTCGATAGAGAGCTTTTGATCTTCCTGCAAGATTCTGCTTCAGCACACAAGGAAAAATTTTAATATTCCAGCAATATTCCTGGTTTCATACCTGTAGAGGATTGGCCATCTTGAATTCCAGATTTGAAAACATTTGACTACAGTGTGTGGCCTTAAGTAAGTAGCCTTAAACTCACCATTTCAATCTTCGAACCCGCAAAAGTATTGGACAACGACATTTTTACATATCAAAAATGATGAAGTCTAAAAATATTAATTTAGTTGTATTTATTCTAAACATTAAAATCACATATTGACACATGCATATACATACTATGTATTATATTTACACAAAAAATTGCATGAAAATACTAAAATTATATATATGTATACATATTATACACTATGACAATCTTATAAGCTAACGCCAATAATGGATTCAATGGAAAAGCTAAGTTTTGGCTTCTTAACGGGCGTAATTAAGTCTACACTCTGCGCTTGCGCATCATTTGGTGTGGTAGCAGGTGTCACTTGCGTAGAAGAACTTGATGCTGATGGCGGTGACATAAGATTAGCATGCCACAGCGATAAAGGAGCATAATTCGAGTCGATGGATTGCGCAGCAGCGGGAGCTACGACAGGATAATTCTCAAAACCGCTACAGAAGGAATAGGTGTCAGGAGCAGCTGCTGGCAACAATGTGGGCGTGACAAAGTAGGGCGGCAGTGGTGGTGATCCCATATAAGCGCTACCATGACCATGTGGCAGAGTCTTGGGCATTGCGATTGTTGAATGAGGTACGTCGGTCGTGTGTAATTGTGTTAGGGGCGTAGTTGTAGTCAGCAATGTGGCGGCATCCAGGTTTACCCAATTCAGTTCGGGATCGGCAAAGGCGCGTCGCTTTCGGATACGCTCCAGTAACGGTGAATTAATGGTGGGAAAGCGTTGCTTGTATTCTGGAAAAGTAAAGAAAGGAGCATGTTAATGAAATGTGTTAATTGAGTATGTGTGTGTGATAGTTTTAACACATTTAATTGAATAATTGGTGCCTTTTGTAGCGGAGATGGGTTCTTTTTTGAAGTGTTTGAGTGGCACCGATGCATTCAGCAGTGAAATTTTCACGAGTGCACGAAGAAAGTAACTAATTCGTCAATTAGACACTACCAGCCTTTTGGCTGTGTTGGTAATTTGATGAAAATTGACACTCACTATGAGTGGGTGACCGTCTACGCGAGTAAAAGGATGTTATAAATTCTGTTTGTCTCTGCAATTGAGTTACTTCGTGTGCATTTACGTAAACAACGGATTTCTCTGGAAACCAGATGGAACGGGCAATTTCAAGTGCCTTCCATTTTTTCTTACATTTCTCTTTAGACACTAGTCTGCGCGTATGCTTAATGAGGCCACCAACACACACTCAAAAAATGTTGAAGTGCTTCACCAAACGTCTGCGTGGCTTGAGTTAGTCAAATTGCAGGATATCGTCAGCGCATGTCCTTACAAATGACTCCAATTACAAATACAATTGGTTAGTTCATAACAATTTGTTATTGTTTTCACATTTCTTATGTGTTTTTTCAGTTGCACTGAACTTTTGTTTATTGTTGTTGCTGCTGTGGCTGCATTTCCTGCATTTGTAACATTTTTTGTTTTTATTTTTAATTTTTTCTGTGGGCATTTGGCCCTCTTGAAACTATACATACATACAAGTATGTATATGTTTGTATGCGTGTGTGTATGGGTTGCTTTCACTGCCGTTTATACTATTTTACGCATCTTAAAGGATCAAATTACTAAGTAATTGATTTTTCTAAGTGTGGGTCGCTGGTGTTCGGTTCAGAGGCGACAGTATGTCTGGTTTGTCTGCATTGTCTCAGACAGTATGGCACCAGTCTAGGTCTCGATCTGTCTAAAAGTGGTCAACACATAGCCATATATACATATATGTCGTGAAATTTGAGCTAACTACTCGTTCATAAGTCATATTTTTTAAAGTTCTTTTTGTGTGATTTATTTTGCGGTTTGGGACCGAAAAAAAAGATCGTGTGCTTGCACGTGTGTATTCACATGCACATACACATACGTGTGTACAGACATATGAATGTGAAATTATCACACGATATATATTTGTACTTTAAATTACTCTCTGTAGCAGAAACAGTATTTATTTTTTCAATAAGTTTTTAAGTTCCAAAGAAGAATTTTTATTCGACACACAGATAAAGTATAAGTATAGCGAAAAGTTCGCTAGTAATTGATTTTAATATTTTTAATATCGAGTTCATTTTACTTCAAGCTCTTTATTTTATCTATAGCCTCAAGAACATCTCTTAACACATTCCGGTTAATGCTTTGGGTATGAAGCGTTTCAATACCAGACTCATTCCAAAAGACGTGAGACTTTTGCAAAAACGACGTAGATAGAAAAGTTTAAGGAAATCGTCGAAACTGTCCAACAATATAATGAATGGCGCTCCAAAAATGAGGCAAAACCGAAAAAACAAAGGCATTGAAGCCATCCCAGCCGTGGCTTATAATGAGTGTATGGAAGATTGGATTGAGCTTTGGCATGCTTGAATTGGTTCAGGAGGCTAGTTTTAAGGCGAAAAAGAAAGATTTGTATTAAAATATTTAATAATTTTAACCATTTCATGTACATATTTTTACAGTATCATCTTATACACATAAACATTATCCCAACATAATTTCCATACAATTACATGTCCATTAAAATTCATAATTTCCTCGAAAATCACTCAAAGTGTTAAAAGCCAAATGGTCGGAAATTTTAATATCAACCATAATTTCATTTCAATATTTCAATCAAGACACGTATTCATTACACACATAGTACATACATGATTTCATAGTTTCTTGTATACCCTCAAGGAAATTATGGCCACCAACAAGGAAAGATGTGTAGACAAATTTAGTTGTTACTTGACCTAAATCCCAGTTTTAGTGTCTCTATATCCTGATTATTTGAATATATACAAGACCTGAGTAAGAATGTAAGCAGTAAATTGGTTTAATCGTTGGGTTTATGCAGCAGGAATAACTGGGCACTAATATTTGAAAACATTTTCTATAAGAAATGAATATTGTTTCGGTCTCGACCTGAACCCATCGGTCATCAGACCTGGCCCGTCTTTACCCTTTTCATATCTTAAGACGATTTCTTTAAATATTTTTTTGTCTTATACCATAGAATTAAAAACAAGTAAGGTAACACTAATGGTGTAACCAAACATTTTATACTCTTTCAACTTGCAAAGATCAGAGCCGGCGAAATACTTATATATGTTGGCAAAACTTAAAAATATTAAGAAATGTTGCGAAAGAATTCAATATTGAAATGGAGAATGGACTAGAATTAAATTTGGTATCTTATTAACTTATATTGATGGTCATGTACTTACTTAGATTTATTAATATATTATAATCGCGACAACGAAAATTATGTTAAAATCATTTTTAAATGTGAAATATGTGATATAAACTCAAACCGAAAAGAACCGATTGAGTTGATGTGGAAAACGTCAAGCAGAGAATCGAAATTCTTTATTTTAGGGGTATGAGGTCTAGACTAAGGTCTGGGTTATTAAAGGCATGGGTTGATTTCACATACTTTTACTTTACATTTCTTATATAACTCATACATTGATATATAGTGTATGCGAGTCGATGTAATTCGTATATATGGTTTAAGGCCAACCGGAATTTTGAAAATTGTATATTAGGTATATAGGACCTAAGGTATATTTTTGACAATACCACATACTATTAACAAGCCACATACTCTTAATATTCTCTCTGAGTTTCATTAAGGTACTTTTATCATCACCAATATGTGTATATGGAGTAAAATCAGCTGGATGTTCGAAAATCGGGAAATTAGTTATATTCGTATGGGGGCTAGAGCAAGTTTTCATTCGATTTTATTCATTTTTAACACAAAGATACAAAGGCAAACCGGTATTTCGAAAACCTTTGTATTAGGTATATGGCGGCTAAGAAAAGCCCTCATCCGATTTAACTCATTTTTGACATATTGGCAGGAAAGGATTTGCCTCGAATTTCAACAACATATCTCATCGATAAAATGTTCACCGATTTTAACAATATTTGGTAAAAAGATGACTTGAAGCGCACTATTCCGGCAAAGTTTTATCCCAATACATTCATTGGTAGTTGATTTGCATATTGAAAAGTGAAAGAATCGGATGGAATTTTAGATTGTGTTATATGGGAAGTAGGCGTGGTTATAGTCAGATTGGGGTGTTGTAAAATTTAATGTCTCTGGCGTATTTATTTAGTGATTTATCGCTCTTTTCGTAGTTTTTAACAGAACCATACAGGAGTGCTTTCTCCTGAACGAATTCAGTTATACCTGTATGTATCTTAAATGGTTTAGGAGATATGTATATTAAACTTTTAGGAGGGCCACTTTTTCAAAAATGTTTGACGTGTATTAAGTTTCATTACGATATCTAAATTTTTACAGCTTTTACGTACAGACGAACGGACGGACAGACAGACATCCGGATTTCAACTCTGAAATATAACTGAATTATCTATCTCAATTAGTTTTAGGTGATATAAACAACCGTAAGGTGAACAATGTGTTATTATAATCTGTAGCATCAAATTGCAAGAGAATTTTAAATTATTTTACTAACCGAAGTGTTTAAAATTAGGAAAATTAATAATAATATAAATTAAGAATAAAAAAAATAGATAGAAAAATAGGTTAGAATGACGTAAATAAAAATATGACAAGAAAGAAGAAATAGTTGGAGAAACTAAGCATGTAATTATTTATTTGAGGTTCGTCTGCTTGATCTCGGCTTTACTTCGGCCCAAAACTGAAAAAGTACCGCTGGGTAGCAGAGTAAAAATGATGGAGAGACTTCACTTTAACAGTCGCCAAAGTGAGGTTCAGACCACAATTGGCTTTCGGTTTTTAAATAAAAGTACTGTGTCTATACAACTAACAAAAACTGCTTGGAAAAAGTCGGTGATGACAAGTGTAATATTCCTTAGGTTAGGTTACGTCGTCGGGGTGACTCTTGCACCCAATCGTAGTTAAGGACTTGGACACCTGATTGTGACTGTCCAAGTATTACAGCAAAAATTCAAAGAGCTTTTCGTGCGAGCTAATTTAGGATAGATGCAATTAGCAGATGTATCAGTTGATCAAACTGGTCTGACAACTAAACGTAAAACGTTCCATGGGAAGTTAATCAAAGTGGAGCTAATATGCGTTAATTTGGTGCTGATTAGTAGTCGGGAAGTACTAGGAGGTTGGGTGGTAGTCCTTGACGCCACATTAATCTAAATTTTCAAAAGTGGAACAAATCTAGCGTATTAGAGCTTCTGAGAAGATCTGCTATTGGATTACAGGAGACATCACTACGACCCATTCTTATAAAGAAACATTTAAAAGCGTCATAAACTTTAGTGAACTTGTCATTTTTGCTGTTAAGCATCAAGGTAGGATGTTCCGTGGAGGTATATATATTTAACAACTCTATGGTAATGTGGCAAACTGTTAACACACAATTTATATTTTCTTGCTTCAATCATTAGAGCCCAAAAAATAATAAATAATATCCATCAACAAACAACAAAAATTGCTTCTAACAGAGATATGAATATTAGCTAATTTCTTCGGTGTGGCAAAATAAGAAAATATTACCAATCCATTAACGCGCCAGTCAATTGTATACTTATATACAGACGTCTAACAAAAACGCTTCAAATATTAGCAAATAAATGCATTAGCAGAACATTTTTGATTGATACCACATTCGACTGATGAGTTTAGGTGAATTGTTGATTTGTGTAAACAAAAAACAAAAACAAAAAGTGAAAAGAAATACAAAGGGCAATGCCAAATCCTTTCAAACAACTTAGTAAGTATATGGAGCTGTGAATCCAGAACTCAATGAGAGTGTCGATTTATGTGTGATTTCTGGAGGGTGCACATGTAATATGGAAGCTGTCGACAGCTGGTGCCAAATGAAACTGTCTATCAAAGCGTGCACTGGCTGATGAGCTGACTCTCCCCGCTAATTGAACTTCAATTGAGCAACAAACGAATAAACAAAAAACCGATTGAATGAATGAATGAATGAGAAAGTGAGTTACGTGAACGCAGAAACAGAAACGATTGTGTGGCACGAATAGCAAGATTGCTAGGTATTGCTTGCGTGTGCCAGCGCAAAGGAAAGACTGATTGAATGAATGAAAAAATTAGTTCGCTGAAGAAAATTTGTGTGATGCGATTTTTTATAATTTTTGCCTATGATTATCCAAATAAAACTAAACATCTATTTTTGTATAAATTTAATCGAACTCACCTTCCATAGCAGCGGTTATGTGCAGCGTTGTTTGTTGTAGCGAGCGCAAACGTTGCTTGTAGATCTTTTTTTGTGCGATCAGCGCCTGTTTGGTGCGAAATGAACTCAATGTTGTCTTAACATCCGTATTACCATATGTTTGTGTTGTTGTGGTTGTTGCTGAAGCACTTTCACTCAACACGTTTTGACCAATCGACTGTGTCTCTAATGCTTCCATAGATTGCTGGCGTCTCAATGCGACCTGGGCGGCCATCACACGCTGCCGATCGACAACCAATTGACAGTTCGGACAGCAACATTCACGCCAGCGACAAAGCTTTTTGTGACCTTTGACACAAGAAATGACGCCGTGATTGCGACAGCGTGCACATTTCGGTGTGCGCAAAGAGCGCGACTCCTTTTGTGGCGCCGGCGGTGGTGAGTTGGTGGTGGCCGCGAAAGAGCACGAGTATGTGGTGGGGCCGCTGGAATTCGGTGAGTAGGTGGCTGGTGTTTGTGGTGGCGGTGTTATGTTGTTATCGTGCATATCTTGCACTATGGTTTGATCTGAAAGAGCTGGGGAGGTGGGTGGTGTGTATTGTCCGGGCATTGTGGCGCGAGGTTTAATAGATATGTCGTGGTTTTTAGGTTTTCAAACGTTCAGAAATATACAATAAAGTCGACGGACTCAAATTTGAGAATTTTTTAATTAACTTTCGTACTCTTTTTCTTAATTTATTAGCGAATTTCTTACTTGTATTTGTAATATAGAAGTTCAGAAATATACAACAAAGCCGAATGATTAAATTTGAGAATTTTTTAATTAGTTTTCGTATTTTTTTAAATATATTTTCTTTAAACTTTTCTTAGCAAATTTCATTGTGTTCTTTGTAATATCCACGAAACTCGCACTTATCCCTTTTAAATATTATAATAATAATAATATCGATTATGCGATCGGCATGGTATTCTCCAACTGTTCACCCGTTGCTTACTTGCGAAAGTGTGGCGCGTGTGCGCTCAGTTGGTTCCTCTTAAGTTGATTACTTAAAGCAAAGAATTGTTTCAATATTTGCTTAGAAGCGGAAATTATCACCCATACAACAATATTTTCACAAACATATCTGCTTGCATGCCCATATGTGTGTCCATACGTTCATACAAACAGACAGCTGAACCAAAATGAAATGTGGCAGGCACTAAGGCAAAAGTAACAAAATTTAAAACGCCTGTAATTAGAAAATTTAGTTTTCTACTTTAAAATTCATACATACACATCTTGTCACTTTTTTCTATTTGTTGCCTTTACTACAAGTATTTTCCTATTCTACTTACAGCTGCACAACACAACCTTATTCATTAGCAGCAAAGTGTTGGCGTTCATTGTTGTGGTCGCGCTCCTATTGGTTGTACTCGCCGATCCACACTGTCTTCTTCGACCAATAAGAGGTAAGTGTTGCTCTTGTTGATTGTCGGGCCAGACGGCGAGGCGCGTGTTCAAGTGTTTTTGGCATCGTTGCCAACGCGTATAGCGTTTGTTGTTGGTAAAAGAAAGTGTTGATCACAGAATGAAAAAAATTATTTCGTTGGGTGATGTCGATAATTGCCTTTATGTAAGTGTAATAGTTTTGTTACTGTTACAAATTGCATGTCAAATTGTGAGTATCATTTTGTGGTTTTCTCACGAAATTTTGTTTCAAGTATGATTGAGTTTTGCTGGTTATAAGTGTACGATATGCTATTCTAGATCATGAGCCCTTTACCTACTGATCCCGAACTGATAACTGTAAATTCGGTGTGAATATCTTATTTTTATTTGAATATTCTTTAATAACTTCTTTCTTTTTTCTTACCTTAGAATCATTAACATTTTATGAAAAATTACTACAGTGGTTTTGTTGCCCTAGATATAAAGCCGATTTTTAATATTTGTGCCCACAGTTCATGAAACTATGGTGTTGAAATATTTGTTCTGCTCTATTTTTAAATCTTAATTTTCATTTTACTTTACAAAACTCATAAAACATGAAGCAAAATAATCGAAATCTTTGTAATGTCAGTTTTTTTTTGAAAAATAAGGAGGCATCGAAGTAAATATAAAGACAAATGTCGAAAGCATGTGTTATATTCCAATAAAACTCCTTTTATGAGCTCTTTTTTATAATTTCCCAGTCGAAACTTTTTTTAAGAACTAGCAATTATCTGCCATCAAGTGAAGATCCCATAAATATTTATACCTTTCTTCCATCTTTTAGATCCTAGTTGAACTGTTCTCCCTGTTCCTCACTACAATTTCCAAAATTAGCCGAAAATGTATTCAGATTATTACGAATATAGTTTAATTGGATACTCAAATTTGCTCCTAAAGATGGCTCCAGTTTGTCAATTTTGCACAATTCCTTCATAATTTGGTACTTGGTGGTTGCCTAGGAAATTTTCGACTATCAACATAAACCTTTTCCGAGCTTCAATTTCTGGAATAGCTATAACCTTGACATTGTCTGTATCTTTCATTAATTTGCCGTATTTGAGGACCATCAACTATTCCACCTTTCAACTTTTCCATACTAAGTTCGGAAATTTTTTACAAATGTCACTAAAATAATATTCTTCCACGGCCAACGCTTTGACAAAGTGTTTTATCTTGCCTAACTTGATCACGTAATAAATCACTGAGTTCATTTTGAGAAAACAACTTTGGTATAGATGTTTCCTCCTATTATTGACACCCATCGGTAGACTACATTGATATCTGGGTATTTGGCGACATCACTGATTCTGAGTAGTTCATGCGAATTACTTTTCAAACGAAAGCGAAAATTGCATTGAGTAAAATATGACATTTTGTAGACTGTAATGCAAGGTATTTCCAGGTTTGCTTTTTTTTACTAAAGCTTAAAACCTTCCGCATATTTTCGGTAAGGAGCCTGAGAGTAATGATCAACAAAAATATGTTTATTTTTGGAGAGCTTTGTTATCTTAAGGGTAATATTTTTCGTTCATAAAAGTAAGAAAAAAAGAATTGGAAACATTTCGAATAACAGCTTATTCTTTTTATTAAAAAAGGTGGTGTTGCTGCACCAGATTTGCTTTATGATTTGCAATATATACCACTTGAATTTTTTTTTCGGTTTTAAAAATTCGCTGGAAACGTAAAAGTTTCGTGTGATTGTTTTGAGGCTGTAATATTCTGTCCCTTCTATCTGTCTTGTTCTTCGAACTAGGACAGCAAGAAATATACCATACACACTTTATAATCCTCCATCTTGGGAGATAAATCCAGTCGGAATTTTTTCCGTCACACCTACTACATGGTTGAAAACCTTTTGGAACAACAATGAAAGAACAATTTTTGAAACGAAATACGTCTTTATTCTTCATCATAATTTCCATCCACATTCATGAATTTTTTCCAACGGTCCTCCCATATTTTGATGCCGTGAAAGCTTCGAGTCCTTCAATATTTACATTTTTCGATTTTGACCTTCGAGTCCAGTCTATCTGTTTGATGCCATGTTAGCATATATAAGTTGATAACAGAATTTACGTATTTTATCGAATTATATATTTTTGTATAAATATTCTCCTATACCTACCTTACATGAGATCGGGAGGCAATTAGGTTGCCAAAATCGATTTCGAAATTGATAAATATATAGCCTTCTCTAACAAACATAGAACCTGTATTTCTGTCTGTCGGGTTAACTTTACAGTGGTCCCTAGAAACCACCGTCAATTGAACTAAAGAAATTTTGTGAACATATTTTCTTGAAAATATTTTATTTTTTCCAAGTGCAACCTAAAAAATAAAACTCGAGGGTAAGTTTTAATTTATCTGTTCGTATTTATTTATGTATTTCTGTATGTATGTATATATGTATCTCAATTTAATCAACAATTTCTCATATAATACCATACATTATACTCAATAAATGTAAATATGAAAATGTTTGTTTTAAAAACTAAACAACGCTAATATAAACTTTATTTCAACTATTGCAAGTATAATTATTTTCATACGTTAACATTTCATAAAAATCTAGTACAAACTTTAATATACATATATGCATTTCACTATTGTTATCGGTTTCTTTGAAATGAATATGTGCTTGTAAATATGTATAATGTTAAACGCTCAAATGGAAGTGAATTTGAAGAGAAGACAACTTTTTGGACTTAATTTCATTGAAGAGTCTACTGCGTCAAATAGTATTTATACTCGTTTCCGACTTCTACAATCGTAATTTTGCGTTTGTTTTGTGCATACTCGTATTCGAAGGGCAATTCAATTTAAATTTTCGTTCATTATTTGCTCACTTTGTGCCACTGTACATTAGGTGAAGACGTTTTGAACTATCATGGTGGTTTTTGGCGCACATATATATTTATTATTTCAAAATTTCAATTATTTGTTTAATGGTTGGTGGCTCTGGAAATGTCTTTTATTGTCCATTTTAGATGAGATTCGTTCGAAAAAAAAAATTACAATAACTTCTTTGAAATTCTGTGTAGGCCACGCAAACATATTTAAAAGATTTTGCACAATTAAATAAATTTCTGTCGTTTTTTTCTATAACTGAGTTTCAAAAATGAGTTTGGACTGAATTATATTCGTTTTTTTTAAGTATTATTTTATCATATAATAGTTTATTTAAAGTTCGCAAATAAATATTGAAAAGGATATCATCCTTTCGAGTTTGCTTATCACAATTTCAGAACAAAATTTTTCTTTAAGAGGCGCAAATGCAATTTTTTTTTGTATGTAAGTACGTATGTATACATGTATTTATGTATGTAAGTAAGAGTATTTGCGAAGTATTTAAAAAGTAAATTTTTTCAAGTGTTGGCTAATTTGTAGTATGCTTTTCAACTATGTATGTTTGTGAAATTGTATATTTGAAGAATGCACATGTTTTACAGTAATTTTAGAATTTTTGTATATTTATTATGCAAATTAATTGCTTATCTATTATTAAGTGAATATTATAAAATGATTTTAATAAATTTAAGCGCAAAAAACATCGAATATGCCTTTCTATAAAGAGTTTGAGATAATTTCAACATTTCTCATAAAATATAGTGCCTTCCTGAAACATTTTAGTTTCTAATTTCTTCGTTTTTTTAATTTCTAGTTTTATTGCCACAAAAACATGCGACAAATCGAAATTGTTAAGCGGGGTATAATTTCAACTAATATTTAGACTTAATCTAGATTTTACGATTGGTTTTGAATGACATAAACCCAACTACAACTTTAAGACAAAAGTGAGCGGATAAAGGCCTCTAGTGAAGCGCTATCAAAAACGGGTCAACTAAATGAGGTTAGGCTGCTTTTTCACCATAAATAGTTCGTATTGGTGGTTGAAAAGAAGAGACACTGGAATGCCGAATCGCTCGCGGCCAACCTTAAGCAATCATTAAGTCTATTATGCACCCAAATAGTAACCAATGAAGCTGTGATCAGCAACTCTGTGGATTTGACAAAATGTCTGATCTTAGAAGTAGTTGCCCTGTGATTATCCCTACATTGTTCCTTTGTTCCTTCTTACTAAATTTAAAAACTTTTCGGTCTGTTCGCCATCAACACTACCCCCAAAAGATAGTTCTATCCTTTGAAATGTTTGTTTAGGATAATATTAATGGGGGTTTAATGTGTTCGTCTTCTTTCAGCTGATGTAAAAATGGTACAAAAAATGTTGAACTCTTTAAGTAGCTATCTCGATGAAAAACTATTACTCCGTCCTTTGCTTTCTGTTTTTTTTGTATTACTATCCCTTAAGCAGTTTTAATGATTGAATGTGTAGAATGTGTTTCACAATAATATAAAAAAATGTGTGTGAACGCTGGTCTTTTGTGATACACAAAAATCTTCATAGCCGACGAAGTGTTTCGAGCTTATCGGCTCCAAAAACTTTAAACATGTTTTTCTCGAAATGTTTTTTTTTTAAGAGTGTGTGAGGAATGTTTTTTCCAAACAGCTGGACCGATCGAGTTGAAATTTTCACAGAACCTTCTTAGATATATTTTCTAAGTAATAAACGAAGTAATAAAATATTCGATAATGATTTTACATTTATTTTTTTGGATTTTAGATTTGAGATGGTTTTAAATTAAACAAAAATGTTCCGCACTGCCATAGATCTTTTTTCGGAGATCCTCCTGGAGATGGGCTACGGGTGTAAAGGGAACCAAAATTTTTTAAACAAATCGCCGATTGTTAAAGCACATTGAATTATGTAAATTACCTTTATTGTTATTTATTTATTAAATAATACTGACTTGCAAGTGGATATAATCCCATAAGGTGGTTAATATCAATCCCAGCCACAGCATAATGGATAAGCAATAAATTTGCATTTTTTTAATACTTATCGTACTTCATTCTTTTACCTTCCTTTTTTCCCCTAAGCGGTTATATAATTTATTTTTTCGGACTTTATAATCACAAAGCTATTTAGATTTGTTTTCATTTATATTCTCGAAACAAATTCAATATTAATAATTCATTAATTTATCCTTATTTTGATTGCCACTAGTTTAGTTTTTGTTTTTGTTTTGTTTAACTATTCATTTTTTTTTCAACAATTTATTTACATAAAAATTATTTGCTTTAGTATATTATATATTTAACTTCCCGAAGGTTTTTTATTACCCATTCAACAATCGATGTTTGCCTTTAACCACAACACTGTGTGACAAATTTATGTTGGCAAATTAAGCTTGCCAAGAATGTATACTCGTTGGGTATCGGAAAAATGTAAAACATTGCTCTTTTGAGGTTAGTTTTGATATCAAAAAGACTTTCTTTAATATGTCTTCACAACTTATGTTCAATAAAAATTTACCCAACTTGATTACTTCGTATAACTATTGTATTAGGATGGTTTATCGTATATTGATTTGATTTTAATATTCTACACCGATGTCGTAATGATCCAAAACGGATATTGAAGAGTAAATGTATTCTTTAATAAAAATGGTTTGGGATGAAGCTAAGAGCTAAATGTTTGAAAATTAAAAAGTCAAGTCTACGGTTTGCTGACATGAAAAATTCACTATAAAAAATTAGCAACTCTCAGTAGAGCAGATTATGTCTATGTTATCTACAGATAGGGAATTGAATTTATGTATCTTGTTAGTTGGGAATAAATCCACAGTAAACCTCTCGTTACTTGGAAATTTCATAACCATGAGCTAACACAATTGCGGAAGTTCTAACTCCGAAGTTTTGTTGTTCTTCGGATGAAAAAATTCCCAAATTAATTTCGAGAATTGCTGTCAGGGTGACCATTAATTTGGGACCGTTTCGGTTACCATTTACCAACTGTTGACCGAATATTATGTTTATAACTTAAACATGGTATAAGAAATATAAATTATCAGCGAGACGAGCTGAAGCGGCTTAGCCATCTCCGCGTGTCCCTCCGTCTGTATATATGCGAACTAGTCCCTCAGTTTTTGACCTATCGATCTCAAATTTGGCAAACGCCCGTTTTCCCGAAGAAGCTGCTCATTTGTTGGAACCGCCGATATCTGACCAATATAGAATATTGCTGCCATTTAAAAAGAACGGGAAGTTAACATTTTTATTGTTTTCTGTAGATTTTGAAAAATGATCATCACAACTTTGCTTGCTCACAAGACACCAAGGATTTTCATGTCAAAAACAGTATGAAATATCATTGGCATTAGTCATTCGCAGAAGTAATTTTATCATTTCAAACAAAAACCAAACTGGGTGAAGAAGTTCGATTAAGCATCTATTATTCCTCGCTCTTCTTCCCTTTACAACAGATATACAGGTTCGCTTCCTTCAATTGTCGCACAGTGTTATAAATACTTATGTATATTATTATTTTTTAGAGTACTTACAAATTTACATACTCATTGTACATTAATACATTAGCATTTTGTATGATATAATATACTTTGGTTGATTTTTATATTTATAGTTTAGCTACAAACCCGAGTGCATTTGCTAAGGATATATATTATATATATGTATGTATACATGTAAATACAATGCAATGCTATATACTTTATTTTGAATTCACATTCGATTCTAAGGTATAAGTTGCGCTTCTGGACTAGGTGTGATATTGTGTGTGTGTTAAATAGTAGGTTAGTTGACAAATATGAGTATATATTTTGGTTGAGTGCTGGATCCATAGTAGGAATATTGTGCGGAAAACCACATATGTACTACGTACTACATATTAGTTATAATGTATATATAGAGAGTTATTAGTGAAGTGATTGAGAAAGGGGACAGAGAGAAAGAGTATGTTTCTTCATTTAGTAGACAAGTCGCTGAGTAAAAAGACGTTATTAAGTATAAAAAAGGTAGAAAAGTAATATAAAATACTGAATTGCAAGTCTTACTTGGGGTTATATGCCTAAAAGTATGCATTCAAGGGCAACCAGTTTGATTGGACAAATTGTGCGCGTAAAAAGAGTGGAGGAGAGGGTGAGCTACAGTGATTTTATTTGGTTTTCTCTTGTGAGTAACAGGATAAGTCTTAACGCAATTGAGGTCTGCTAAAAAGTGGCGTTAACTTGCAATCAACAAGATTTTTCCCCAATAAAAATATTTGATTTTTCCTCAGAAAATAATTAGATAATACTGTTGCGCTTGGCACGTAAGGCTGTGCTCTGCATGGCTGCTACGACTGCTTCGGCGCCACCGGTAAAGATCGGTTGGTAGGAGGCGCGTCGCAATACATGCCACATGGCTACCGGTTTACGTAGCGAAGAGAGCATTTGGTGCCAATGTCGTAGCCCCTTACCGGTTGTACAGGCGCCTGCTATCACATGACCCAACGGCGTAATACGCGGTCCACCATCTTCAGCTTCAGTCACACCGAAAACGGTGAGACGTAACTGAACAGTGGTGAGGCTTGTTGGTGGCACACTGAAAATCACCGACTCATTGAAGATGGGACTGCGTTCTCGACGTTTGAGTGAAGTACGCTTCTTCAGCACTTTCTTTTCGTTGTTCATCAGGTAAACCTATGCAAATTTAATTGTGATATTATTTACTCCACTCAATGCTATCACATAAGCGGCTTACACTTACCTTCACGAAAACGCTTTGAACCTGTTGCGGTGCGGTCACCTTGGTGCCGCCTTCCTTTATTTCCATTTTTAAATTCCTCGCCTTCACCACAACAATCGTAAGACGTTCCGCTGTTGGCAAATAGCTCAGCGAGAACATTAGTTCACCCCATTGTGCATTGCATTTGCGCGAATCGGTTAGCGGTATCCATGTCGTGACGGGGCGTGGCATTTCGCCAATTTCCATTTCTGCTTCGCCGATTAGCGTGTGCGTATCACCACTGTGATACAAATGGAACCAGAGAGAGTGGCGACCCTGTTGCTTCTTTAGCCAAAAATTGAATGTTTCATTGTAGCTGGGCGTGACGGAGCCTTTGAAAACCTGCAAAAAGGTGGAAGTAGTAATCAAGCAGATAGCAACATATGTGTTTAAATTATATATAATAAGCAAGGAACGGCTAAGTTTGGGTGTAACCGAACATTTTATACTCTCGCAACTTGCAAGGATTAAAGCCCGGGAAATTACTTCAGGTGCTGTCAAAATTTTATATTAAAGGAAGAATTGATCTGATTCAACCCATTTTTGACAGTAAAACATACTATTATCGAGAGTTTCATTTATTTATTTTATTATATGAATTTCAATTATATATTTTACACATTGATATTTTCGGTAAAAAGTCAACTATTTCCTATAGGGTCATATTCAGTACCTAGGGGTTTGAACAGTTTTCCTTCGATCTAGACAATTTTTGGTCACAAGGTGGCGTACTTTGTACAAAACTATTATACTCTGGAGCAACACGTTGCAATAGTATAAACATGTGTGTTTTGTTTTTTCTTTCGTAGAATATTTGTTGTAAGAGATTGCCTGTATTTCCTAAATTCTAACAGGGTTGTTTTTGAATGTCTTTACTCTTTTGACTTTATCTTCCAGAAATAGATGATTAAGATTCGAGAAATCGTATAACAACACCTTGCCCGCCTGAAACTTCGTTCGTCATCAAGCTATTGAGAGGTCTATCTAAATTCTTATAGAGCGTGTAGAAAAACAAATCGTCATTTCGCAGACCCATTTAAGTTCTGTAAGGATTCGGGCATAGAATAAAATGTATGTTGAATGCAGCATGAAAGTTGGTACACAGGTTCCTTGCCGCCATTAAACGAAAACCTATAAAGTACATTAACTAAGCACTTGGTCGATTAGTGCACTTAAAGTAGGCCACATTATGATACAGATACCGAATATGTGGACTCTGGTATCTACAGCGAATATTTTATGTTGTTGTTGTTGCCGCGGCAGAATTCTGCCAAGTTGACAGTCCTTGGCCGGAATAAATCCGGGTCCGTTTCGGTTACGTAGACACGACTGTCGTGGGTACGGGCGAACATTTTATCGAAAAGATCGGTCAATCTGTGAGATTGAAATCCAAACAAAATTTTTTCCTGATATACTATGCCCGTATGTCAAATATGGGTAGAATCGATCAATACTTCACATAGCTCACCAATTCATTGAAAATGTGAAATATTGCTCGAAAGAAACTTTATAAAGTCAGGTATGGTATACGACGACTCTCGTAGTTCGTTTATCGTTTAAATCGAATCGCGTTTTCCAGATCTGTGCGAGTTCGATGCCAATGTTCTGGATGCCGATTGTAATATTATCAAGTACAGTCACGTATATGCCATTGTCATTATTTGCATATACATATGTATGTATACTTTGGACTACTTACTCGATGACCTCCACCCGTATTTGCTTTATATTATCTCCAGTGTTTCCAATCTTTCGGTCAACTTGCGTAAGATTTCAACAGGTCCTTGCCCATTTTACTATATTTTTATTCTCGAATATTTACTTGTGGAGTTCTTTCGTTGTATTTTTTTTTTAACTAAGTGTGTAATCCTCAAAAGCTTAAATGCTATTCTTTAACAAACCCGCTCACCTTCGTCTGCATTGCTGCTGCCTCGTCTGGCACAAGATAAATGCGCACAAAAGTGTCTAACGACTCGACGTTAAAAGGACAAATTAGCCCTTTTGCCTCCAGCACCATAACAGTGAGCTCCATGCCCTCGTCGTTAATGGAATTTCTGTGAAATACAAATGCGCTTAAATAAATACATGAAAATATACAAATATACCTACATATTGTATATATATGCATGTGTGTATATAAGCATTTAAATAGGACTGGTTGCTTGGGGACAGTGGAAAGTGGACATGAAAAGAGCCACAATATATTTATACAATGTAAATATGTACAATGCATATACGTATATAAAATAATGTACATATACGAGTTTGTCCGTTTGTAGTGGCGGCAAAGTAAGCGTAATTAATTTTTAACGTGATGGGAAAAAATATGGAATAAAAAACTTAAAAAGTGAATGTAAAGCACTATATGTTATAAAAAAAAAACAAAAAAAAAAAACGGCTGAACCCCAGCAGGAAAACTTAAAAGTAACTACTACAGACTTTTATTGATTTCATGGGACTGTTCTTGTTTTCGGAAGCCACAGACTCTTAGATTTCATGTCGTAAACTTTTACATACATTTCGGTTTATTTGCAGCAAGGCAGCCTAGAACTCTCTTAAGATGAGAAAAACATTAATATGGAAGCAGGTTGGAAAGGACGAAGAAGTTAAGCGATAGGTGGATGAAGCCCTCAGCTGAAAAAAACGGTAGGGGACTGGGAAATACTTATCTCGGTCTGTTAATAAGAAGAGAATATTTGAGGTTTTTATTTATTGAACATACTCCAGAGCTTTTTAAAAAGTTTCCTCTGTGAGAACTTCGCAATCTTTAGTTTAATCGAAAAAAAAATATTGTCTAATTATTACTCATAGAAACCAAGGACTTGAGGCACATTAAACTTATGAATAGGTTTGGGGTCTATCCTCCACGGCCTTTATCATAGGTACAATTGTATAATTGACTCAAGGCTCGACGTAAATTTCCGAAATCCCCATTTTCGAGAGAATCTTATCTACAATTTCACTTTGATAGGAAAAACCTCTCCTTATTAATTTTTGTAGAGCCTTAACTTAGCTGATCATTCGTCTCGGTTTGGTCGGGACAGTTCGGATTCTGAGTTATGCGTCCCGGGGTTAGAAATTAAAAAAAAAGAATTAATTTAATAAAATTGTGTTGCTCTCTCACTTATTATATGTCGCGATTTTCACTGAAGTATGATATGGAAAAATTCTATGACTAAAACAAAACCGTCCCAGATTTTGCCGGGACAAATATGGTCACCTAAGTCTAAACGAATAGTCATGTGCTTGAGTTAATAATAATATTCTTATAAGTTGGCCTCTTTCTAACTCACAATAGGTGTCTTGGTTACTCTTAAAATAGTAGAACGCTTCTTAACATTTTTAGCGATCAAGGTTGTTGAAACATTTTTAGAACTCGTCGGAATTATATTGGAACATTAACTTTGGGCTCAATATATACAGTTAGGGATTATGAAACTTCTTAAGCAATTTGCTTTGATCTCAAACTTTTACACAAACCTAGTTGGCGTTCGGATTCAGGATTTTAGCGAAGATGACGTTATCTGAGCACTTTTAAGGGATTGACGATTTTTTAATTAATTCTCTCAGGCCTGTGACGGTTTGTATAACTTCACGGATTATAGTTAGCTTTTGAACTAGGGTTTCACTGATAACGAATCTTCATAACAATGAACTCTTATCTAAACTGATTAAAATAATTCAATACATATATAGAGATAAAGGTCTTGTAAAGACTTTTACTCCCACTTTACACTTCATCTCAGCTAAGACTAGTAGATGCACTGATAGCTTGTCAACATATGACCATAGAAGTTAGGTCTGCAGGTCGTTAACTATCTTTCTCTATATTTCGTTCTAATTCTCTATAGGCTTACTCCTAAAAGAATTATTTTTTATGAATTTTTTTAAAAGGATTTTATTTAAAAAGTAAATAAAATAAATGTACATTTGTAGAATTTAATGTGCTTTAATAATCGATAATTCATATTACCGTAGCCGATTGTCAGGAGAACCTGCGAAAAAAGATCTTTAGCGGTGAAGAAGATTTTTCGGCTAAAAATTATCTCAAATATAAAAACCAAAAAAAGAATACTTTTAATATAGATGAATACAGGTAATGATCGAAAGACGACATTCCCAATCAGAGTTGCTTTGAAAATCGAAATTATTGCCAAAAGTCTTATTTCTTTGATCAATGCCTGACACATGTGTATATGAAAATCAATTTTTTGAAGTTCACAAGTGGATATAACCCCTTAAAGTAAGGCTAAAGTTGTATTGAAGTAGGAGGAAAAACTGCAGAGGAAATTAGAGAAGAAACATGAAGCAAAAAAGATATGAAAACTTTAAATTTATTTTATGTTTCTTATAAGATTTTTAATATTTGCTCTACATATTATGTTTCTAGCCCGAAATTTTCTTTAGGGCATTATGTAAATAGAGAAAAATATACATGTAGAATTTAATACATAAATATACACATACACGTGTACATCTTTATTTATGGCAAGTACACGTTGTGCTTGGTTAGAACACAATAACGAAGGTATAGAAAATAGTAACAGAATGCACTAGCAACAACAAAGATAACATTTGCAACAAAAATAATGCAGCATATGATGCGGGTGAATGCACATTGCACACTTGAAAGGTTGTTAGCACATAAAACATAAGTGCCATAACCCCCTCTACAGCACATAAGTATGTTCATGCACATGTATATTGTGGGCTGTGCTCAGTGGAAAACAAAGGTTGCCTGATGTTCTTGTCCATATGCGCAAGCTTATTAATGTAACTAAATATGGATATGTGTGTGTATGTGCGTTGGTGGCGAGCATCCTAATGCGGCTAACTCAAGTACACTAACATTTGCCTAAAGCACACATTGCCCTTTGTCTTGTTGTTTACAACAGTGAAACAGTGGTTCTTACTTTCAATCCCAATCCCTCCCCACAAAGCTAAAAACTCACTTGTCATATTGCAAGCCGACACACAGGTAGCCGGTTATCTGTGTATACGGTTGATCCAATTCGCCCACAAACACCGATGAGGTGTCCGAGTTCACCGAGTCACATGAGATGGCCCGCTCTAAGTTGATGCCCTCCATCGAACCACAGGTCGTCGAATCGAGCGAACATTGTGAGCTATTGCGTCGGCCAAGGCTCATTAGGGAATCTTGACGCAACAGTGAACGGCCAAAGGTCCAGGTGGTATTGCCATTGCCACTCGTGTTCGGTGTGCCATGCGCTGTTGTCTGCGCGTTATGGGCCGCACCTGCATTTACACCGAGTTTGCGGAAGAGAAAGTCCTCGGAAATGGTTTTCTGTAGCATGTGTGGCCCCTTTTGTACGCGCTGAGTCAAGCCAGCGAAGGGATTGGTGGAGTTTTGTGTTAGTCGCCGCAGTCCATTTGAAAGTGACTTGAGTTCGGAGTCTTCCGCCGACGCCTGGTCGGTTGAAAAGGAGCGATTACGAAATTCTTGAAATTGTTGTTGTAGTGATTTCGCGCTTAATGCTGTGGGGGTTGTGTTGTTGGTGTCAACCGCTATCATGTCTGTTTCGCGAGGCGCTGACTCGCTGTAGAAGGGATTACACGAGCCATTTATGTTTGTTGTTGTTGGTGATGGAGCTTCGCTGCAGCCGTTACTAATGTGTCCGTTTAAATTGTTGCTATTGTTGTTGGCAATATTTTGCATGCCTCCGTTTGTGTAGCATTGTATTGATTGTTGTTGTTGCAAGGCAGTGTTTGATTCCGGTAAGCTCTCAGCGGATTCACATAGAAAGGGATTTGTGCTGGAATTACGTCGCTTCAACGTCTTCGGATGATTGTGATTGTATTGGTCATTTGTGTTTGCTTGTGTCGTTGTTGTTGTATTTGTTGAGGATAAAGCTTCAGTTTCCTGTATTGTAGTTGCAGTTGTGATTGTTTCCATCATATGTCTACCCATGACCGCGGCACCATTTCCGACATTTTGTAATGAAACTTGCCTCTTGGCCACCGGTCGTGGTATGGCGCTGGCGCTCAATGTCGACGATGAGGCCGACAGCCGTGGTGGCGGGGGCGCATCAAGCTTTTTCGGTATGGCCGCATTCGTGCATTTCATCGAAGAACGCTTGTATGGCGTATCTCCACCGTTGCTGCGTCCATATGAGCCTGTTTCATGGTTCGGCGTGGTCTCATTGATTTGTTGAAAAGAAAATGTCACTGTCTTTATATGTCCGGCACTTGCGGGCGGCTGAGTGCCCGGTGCTGGCGCTGGTCGCAATGGTTGTGGCGGTATGTTGGAGTCTACCTCCCCCTCGCCAGCGAGGTTCCAAAGCGGTGTGGTTGCATGCTGAGTTGGCTGTTGGCCCGACTGTCGGTAGTCGTCCTTGTCGATGGTGTCAAAACGCTTAAAGCTACCGCTATTGCTGAGCAAAAATTCCGAGCCCGAATGGATCTGGTATTAATTGAAATAATTTTTTGTTAATGGTTATACATATTCCGCATAGATATCTGATATTTCCACTCACCATGTAACCATTCGCATGAAATAGCTTATTTTTCGATAGTCCTATCTTCTCTTCTTTATTCGAACGCATCCACGTATTTGCACGCGGTCCCAAACAATGGCAGGCAAACATTACGAATGCTATCATCAACAGCAGCAGCAGCGCCAGAGTGGTGAATGACATCGGCTCGCCATCCATTGTTACGGCGTATCGCTTGTTTGCATGTACTCATTCAACACTTGAACTGTGATCTAAAAGTGATTTATGCTGCAAATAGGTGTAAATGAAGGGTACAGTTTTAACAAAAAATTAATATTTTTATAATTTGTTTTTATATTTATGGACGAGCATCTTCGTCTGATCTGTGCGAAAAGAAAGATTTTGACTAAGAAATTGAAGCAGTATGCCAAATACAAATAAGTTTTCTCTTTCTATATATTATATATGATTAAATATTTATATTTTATGCCCTTAAAATTCATAACACTCTCGATATGAGACGAAACTCTGCAGAAGCTTTTTCAGAACTTTTATATACCATATACATATATTGTTAAAAACTAATATTTTACAAATTTTTAATAATGAATCATTAGACTTTTGAAGTTGTTGCCCATCAAATGACGGTCTAAAGCTAAGTTCATTTAGCTGTAGCTGATTTTATTAGAGCTCGTAACATCGACATTTTCCCCAATAAAAATATTAAAAATGCAACATTTAAAGAATGATACATACGGTACAAACGGTACATGGTCCTGTAAATCTTTTAAACAGACAACATTGACTTAACACATTACCTCATTATATAACATTTTTAGAGTGGATAACCATTTTATAGTTTTGCCATAAACCCATTTGAAGTTAAATATAATAACTAGTAAAAGGCATTGATTCTAATCTAATCACTTAAAAAAGAAAAAACGTTAGCTTAGTCTGCACCGAATCTATAATATATACAGGTGATTTTCTTATAGCAACAATCATATACCTATGTCTAATTACTTTGAAAACGTAACCGGGAAACGGTTTAAATCAAATGGAAAACGTTTTGCTAGCTCTTTATAACCACGTTGTTTGATAGAAACCACTTTCAAGTCGAATTACGTTTTCTTAATAAGGAAAAAATATATTTTATGAAGATTTTTTATCTTGCTTTTAATCGGTCAGTTTGAATGGCAGCTTTAGTGGTCTGTTATAGTGGTCTGGTCTGAACAATATTAGTATTTGAAGATTACAGCGTTGCCTTGGACATTAATCTAAATTTATATATTTTTATATGAAGAGATATCAATCTGCCGAATAAAAAAATTTTCATACAAAAACTTGATTTTTATCGGTCAGGTTGTATGGCACCCCGACAAGTGGTCAGCGTGGAAAGAGCTTTTCAGATGATTGTATCATATATATAAGTTATTCATTACATGGGACGAATCTGGGTAAGCAAACTAATTCATAATTTTATGAGACTGTTATAAGAGGACCTTCATAGCTGTAGGCGTGATTTTCTTCATCATAGAGAAACAATTTTTGATCCCTTGGTTTATATATATTTTTAATAAACAGCGAAATTTCAACAAGTTCTATATTAGGACCTGGGAATCTGTATATAGACAGATATAATTGATGATCTTCTACTCGAATACACCTTTCGAGAGTCTAATTTAATCGATGATATTATTTTCAAAAAAGCATATAATGTGATATTTCTTAGATCATTAATAAAAATAATTTACATTAATGTATCAGGATTTACCAAAAATTGCTTAATATAAATTGGTTTAGTTTTCATTCCAAATAAGATGTTTCCAGTTAGCATCCTGTTATTTTATTCCTGTTGTTTTCTTTCAATACTTTGCTATATTCAAACGATATCCGGTAAAATTTTAGACAAATGTTCGGAAAATATACCCTGGAAAATTTTAACTTGTTCTTTTCTTTTTTATACATTATATATACAAGAATATACCTATTTATAAGTTCATGCTTTATAGTAAAATTACTTCGCTTAACTCGAATTCGTGGTACTATATAAAAAGAAATGACAAATATACATATAGTATACTCATATATGTATGTATATAATAATATAGAAAAAACAAATTTTTCTTGAACTATGTAAAAATTTGGTCTCTAAATCAGACTAGAAAAGATATTAAAGAACTGTCTGTAAAACTGTTGAGCTGTGGACTCTAGCCGTTCTATATCACTAGTTGCATGCCACCTATGTATTCATATATCGTAGGTTCATCTCTTCTTACCATACATTTAATTTTGCATGTCGCACACACACACATTCATACCTTAAAACATACAATTACACGCAGATTTTTTTTTGTAATGACTTTGTTGTTGGTGGAGAGAAAACTTAAACTAATGAAACAAATTTCCTATTCAGAACTTTTGCCGTTCTCTACAAACGAATATATTCAATACACTAGTCACTTGTTATGGGGAAAGAGAAACCAAAAACAAAAAAAACAAGTAAGGAAGGGCTAAGTTCGGATGTAACCGAACATTTTATACTCTCGCAAAGCCAAATGGTATACTCGTTTGAGATTTCTTTGTGGATTGACTGATATTTTCGGTAGAAGGTCAACTATAGGCAATGGGGTCCATATATTTAGTACTTAGGGGTGTGAACAGTTTTGGTTCGATTTAGACAATTTTTGACCGCAAGGTGGCATACTTTAATTGCATTATTCACGCAAAGTTTTACCCCGATATAATCATTGTTACCTGATTTGCATAGCGGAAAGTGAAAGAATCAGATGGAATTGAAAATGGTGTTACATGGGAAGTAAGCGTGGTTGTAGTCTGATTTCGCCCATTTTCGCACTATGACATAGAAACATGAAAAGACCGTTATGCACCGAATTTGGTTGAAATCGGTTGAGCAGATCTCAAGATATGGGTTTTCACCTCAAAGTGGGCTGTGCCACGCCCACTGACTAATTTTGAACGCGGTTCCTATAAAGCCAATTTATACCATCTCAGAGATAAAATTTAATGTCTCTGGCGTGTTTAGTGCTTGATTTATCGCGCTTTTAGTAGTTTTTAACAGTACTGTTATATGGGGAGTGGGCGAAGTTGCCACCCGATTTCAACTATTTTCACACCGTCAATAGAAGTGCTAAAAACATTTGCTTCTAGTGAATTTTGTTATTATAGCATTAGCGGATATGCACATTAAACCTATTAGAGGCGGGACCACGCCCACTTTTTAAAAAAAAGTTTTAACTGCAGATGCCCCTCCCTAATGTGATCCTGTGTACCAAATAACAGTCTTGTATCTTATTGCGGAGCTTAGTTATGGCAAGTTATTTGTTTTTGATTAATGGCGTTTTGTGGGCGTGGCAGTGGTCCGATTACGCCCATCTGCAATACCAACCGTCTCACGGTACCAAGAAACATGTCTACCAAGTTTCATAAAGATATCTCAATTTTTACTCAAGTTAGAGCTTGCACGGACGGACAGACGGACGGACGGACGGACAGACAGTCACCCGGATTTCAACTCGTCTCTTCATCCTGATCATTTATATATATATAACCCTATATCTAACTCGATTAGTTTTAGGTGATACAAACAACCGTTAGGTGAACAAAACTATTATACTCTGTAGCAACAGGTTGCGAGAGTATAAAAAAAAAGAACGCGCACACTAGTCCTGGTTTCCATTTCACTAAAACGTCAGCAATACAGCATCGGCGGATTTCCCTACAGAGTTCCAGTTGGCTTTGCGTTGAGTGCGTTGACAGTTTTTGATTGAATTTGAAACTTGATCCAACCCATTTTCACATCAAAGACACGCCGTCGGTGAGTGGCGAACAAGATATTCGACGACACAATGTGATACAATCACTAAGTACCACTGAGTGATTCTGGCAAGCCGACGCAGAGTTGCCGAGATATTGGTATTTATATGCCGGTGGATCACTGATTTAAAGTGCGAGATTAATTTCGTAATTTCGTCTGTAACTTAAATGTACTTTTCTATTCAATACTGAACTTTTTCAAATTTTAACTATCTCTTTACAAAGATTATGCTCTCTTAATTGGTTAATATTCCATTTAGGGTTTGTATGTCGATGGCTAAATAACTGGACTAGTCAGTTTATAAGATATCGATTTGAAATTTTGTACACGCCCATTTCTCTCCATGAAGCTGCTCATTTGTTGGAGCCACCGATATCGGACCATTATGGTTCTTGTATAGCAAATTTTTTATTTAACAAAATATTTTCACAAAATTTGTATTGTTCAGAGTGGAGAGCTATTGTATATTCTACAAATGGTAACCTTAACAGCCACATATGTTCCTTAAAAATTATTTTATTTGAAAACTGCTTCTTGAACTGACGCAAATTTTGCTCCGCATGTCTGTTTTTAATAGAGAAGTGAAACGAAATAAATGAAAATTTTATAATTAAATGAAAACAAGCTGCATAAGATGAGGTATCGATTACTCAACAATGTGTCATTTTAAATTTTCACATATACTTTAGAAACAAATGAACATATTAATTTTGTGCGAATTTGTGTTAAATATACAGGGTGCGCGTTTATCTACTCATAAATAATTTTTTTTGAAGCTGGAGTATTCTGCTTACGGTTTGCAATTACCGATTTTGCTTTAAGCCTTTTTACATCTCCATCAGATCATCTCAACAAAAATTCTTGTCCAAATGCTTTGGCAGTTAAGGCATCAAAATAACTTAACCTTATAATAACCTTGTCCAATATTTTCTGATTTTTCGAAAAAAGGTAAGTTCAAATAGTTGAAGTTAAACTTTAAGAGTTGCTTTATATAACTGCTCATGTAATATACCTCATGAGATAAATTAAAATAGAAACACGTATTTCTTCACTTGATTTCCGCTTTTTTGGTCTATCGCTTTTTGTGACCCCAGAAGCAAACTATCTTTTAAACATGCTTTAACAAGGACAATTACATTCAAAAGTTCAAAACTAAAGCTGGAAAAAATATTTTTATTACAATTTATATAAAAATCCTTAATAAATTGGCGAAGATATTGGCCAAGTTAGTGAAGTGTTGTCCATATACATACCTCATTAGAACTGGTGGTTCAATATAAGCTGTCTTCGATTTGCCAAGCGTTTAAGAGAAGCGAGTCAAACGAACGGGCAGCACTTGCGGTGCAACTTTGCGTTAACACTGATTCAAAATAGCGGCTATATCAATTTAATGAGGTATCCGCAGAGAAGTGGCGAATCGAAGACAGTCATAATGAATTCCAGATCAAAA